CACTGAACAGTTAAGCTGGGGACCAATATCTGGAGTAAAGATTTCTTTACTCAACCTGCCACAATTTGTAGAAACGACCACATTACCTTGAGTAGAATTTACTGAACATACACTGCTAACTGTTATATTGTTCTGCATGCTGACATCATCCATATATTTTGCTTTAGTCTTTAAAATTTCTCCACCAGCAACTGGGGACTTGACAATGGATCCCTTCACTGAAGCGGTGATAGAACTGTCTGCTGATTTTTCACTGGAGGAACTGATACTAACGATTGCAGGGCTACTGCATGTGGAAATAACACTATTGGAGGCAGGTGTACTCTGCGTATTAACATCATGACTAACCTTATCTTTATTTGAAGAATTTACAGAATTAACACCTGTTGTTGCAGTGGATAACTCAGAACAAGTATCATCTGCAACAAAATCCTTACTCTTGACAGCAATTCTACGCAAACTTTGCCCAGGTTTAGGTTCCTTACGTTTAACCAGTCTGGTTCTCCTGACTGAATTTTGTTTGGTTTGATTTCCAGAGGTCCTACAACCTTTCTTTGGCAGAATTTTAACTGCACTGCCAGCAGCAGTTGATGGTACAGGGACAGAGGAAGAAAGAAAGGTTTCAGTAGGGGTGCTGACTTCTGAAGCACACGTTGGAAGAGGTTGCACAGTACTGAGTGAAGGTGGAGTAATGGTGTATATCTGCACATTGCTTTGACTTGAGACCTTTGAAATGCTCTGACTAAGACTAGTTAGAGCACCTAAACAATTCATAGCAACATTGGCTGTGGGTTCCTCACAGGTGGGCTGAAGGATCTGAGTTACACTTTGTCCAGAGTGAGAGTCTCCCTTATCTGAATTTGCAGGTTGCAAAACATACACTTGTCCATTCACAGTGATAGTCTGAGGTGCTTGTGCTTGCAATTGGTTTGAGGGACGTGGAAGAATATGTACCAACTGCTTTGTAGCAGCGGGCTGCATGCCAGCTGTACAAGTAGGGTTTAAAGTGGCCGTTTGACTGGATAAAGTCTGGGTTGCAGCTGACACAATGGCAGTGTGATGACTCTGTGGTGCAGGAGTCATAGTAGGTGTCTGAATTATGACAATGTGCTGGCAGGGTGTCTGACTAGTGACATCTTCTCTGAGAACTTGTGGTGCTGAACATGAGCTTCCCTGTTGCAGAATAACAACATGCGAGTTACTTGGAGAAGAGGATGTCACAGCAACTGGTGTTTCATCAGAATTCACCTGCAATAACTGCATCGTCTGTAACACTGGCAGTGTGGCAGCTTGTGGTTGAGGCACAAGGGCAGGCTGCATTGGTGGATTTATGATTGGCTGAGCTTGAGGCACCACACTAAGATGCAGTTGAGGCACAATGGCAGACTGGGCTTGGGGCACCACTGTCGGTTGAGAATGAGGCTGAGTTGGCAGAGCAGGCTGAACTTGAGTTTTAGATTGCCGGTTGGGATTACATGTGGTCATTAGAGAAGAGCTGAGTTGAGGTTTTGGTAATAATGCAGGTTGCACTCGAACAGACGATTGTGGGTGGGTTAACTGTGCTGTCTGTGTTTCAACAGATGGCTGATGGACCACTATAGCTTGGGATACAATGCTTGGCACCGATAAAATTGATGACTGTTGTGCTATGGCTGTCTGAGGGCATGGCACAACCGCAGAATATATCTGAGGAGGTCTTGGCCCAGATGGTTGAACAGGAATGCAAGTTGAATTTGGGGCTTGCAGTTGAACAGGAACCTGTGGTTGCAAATGGGTAGAAGTGGGCTCCTCAAGGTGTTTTGTCCCCACTGAACATACAGAAAGTTGCTGAGGGTTATGTGAAATGCTGGCACCATCTGTGATGAGTGCCTGGGAGACAGGTTGCACTGTATTTCCTGCAGTTGTAGTGTTGTCCATGTAGTCTGTGTGCTACTAGTTGGACTGGTTCTAAGAAGGGTAGAGCTTGCTGGTAATATAGTGCTAACCGATTGGATTTCAGAATTCTTTGAGAGCATGGTGGGGGCTGCAGCAACAGGAACAACTGAGTTACTGATCACAACTTGAGGCAGCGAAGATAGGTTAAGCATAGGCTGAAGTCTGAGAGGCGTGGCCGGACAGGTAGCAGAAGTGAGACTGGGGGTTGGGTTATCTGGTTGAAGTTGTGGAGGGAGTGGGGTGCTGACAGCAGGCTGGGGACATAAACCTTGAACAGTAATATAATTCATAGGAGGGTTTAATGGAGTAGTAGGTGCCAGAGGAGAATATTGTTCCACAACTGTAAGACATGACTTGGATACAGCAGGAATAATAGTTGCTACAGGTATTTGGGAAGATGCAGAAGTGACTAAAACTTTGTTGACTGGTTCTCCATTCATAATACCAACAGTCTGACCCGTGCCTAATGTAATATCACATGATGGTTGGACTGTTACAGCATTTGCCGGTTGTTTATCAAGATGAGAAACTGGATTTTGTGGAATGGAGATTTTGTTTGTTGGACAGTTGTTGCCATTGGAGTATACGATTATTCCCTTTGACATTAAGTGCGTCGGAGTGACTTTGGCTACTTTTGCACAGCGCTGCTTCCCTTTCCAGTGTATAGTGGGGTCATCAAGGAAATTGATGCCATTAGCTTTGAGGAGCTCAATATAATGAGCGCTTTCCTTGCGCAAGTCCTCCACCTGGTGCCGTAAGCGCTTTATCTCCTCTGCTGCAGAGAAAAATTTAACATGGATATCAAAATGAATGACTGCTCAAAAGCCTACAAAGAATGCATTGGCTGGAAATTCAATACTTATCTTGAAACCATATCCCATAAGTAAAATGTTAATTCATCATATGTAAATTCACACAAGCTATACAATTAAATTTTGTGATCATGGCTCACCTTGGACTTTGTCTCCTCCATTAAGCAGCATTTCATCACTTTGTCGCTTTAGATCAGTGATGTAACGAAAAGCCTCTCCCAGAATCATATTTTTACTCTATAAGGAAAATCAAAATATTACAGACTGAGAACTCTGTAAGAACAGATTTTAAAATTGTGCTTAGTTTACACATTTATTACATACGTTTACCTGTTTCAAGGCCTGAGAGCAAGGCAAAAGCTCTCCAATCCGATTTATACCAGCATTGATTTTCTCTTTACGATGTCTTTCCACTGATGTATAAGGCAAACAAGGAATAGCATACAAAAACATATTACTTATAAAAAGATTTATTACATATTAAAAAGAAAAATTGAACAGTTACTCACACTCATACTGTTTTTACCATAAAACTTTCTCACCTGCATTATGAATCTCCTTGTTTTTCTTCCGCCTAACATTTCACAGAAAATTAATAAATGGTATATCACTTAAACTCAAGTAAATGAGAAATAACAGTCCACATTAACACACTTCTACCTAGCTAATAATACACACAAAAATAAATAAAAATATTTACACTGTATTACACAATTTATTGATTAGCAAATACATACGCATAATTAAATGTAAGTATTTTAAACATAAAAAAGAACCTTATTGTAAAGTTTCACCTATAAAACAAACACAACCCAAAAATGATCAATTTAATGAAAGAACAGTTGGGTTCAGTCAGAACTAATTTGACATTGAAAAAAAGAAACTCTTTAAGCGGGAATTGATCAGTACCGTGGCGGTTTTGGATTATTTGTTTGATTTTGCACTATCTCCGGCATCCTGGCACACTGTACAGCCTGTTAATACAAAAACACATTAACAAAATCTTATCTGAAAAGAATGCAACTCATAGTATATTGTGTAAGGGGATATGCTGTGGTTGGAGGTAAATGCAAAATTACCTTTCAGCACTAAGCATGCAGCTATGTATGTGTGAGCTCAATGTTGAAGACCATAGACCCAGACACCTCTATGCTCCATAAAAAACTGTAGTAAAGAAGAGAGAAAATAATAGCTCTTAATACTAAATTATGACAACTTCATATCAAACACTATTACAGGATTGTGAGGCATTGTAAAATTAACTTCTTGTTTTCTATATTATGTACAGAGTTTCACTGACAGACAGTTTTGACATATGTAGAAAGGTTATACGCATTTACATGAAATTAATTGGACATTGTATTTGCTTGTAAGTCATCTAGTAAGGGGGAATGTGACTGAGGTCAGAGGTTAGCAATACAGACATAAACCACAGATTGCAGCAAACTGAGCTTGTTTATTAAATCTAAATTTACATGTAAATATAGTACAAGAAAGCAAGTCTGACTCGCCTGTCACCACGAACATGTGAAGCTCTTTAACACTTGGCTAACAGAGTTAGCTTGTTAGCTTTGAAACCTAAACAACCTATATTTAGTTCAAAGCTTAAATAGATTGAATAAATAAAACACAGACTGATTAAAATATAGCTGACTGAATACATATTACGGTACAAATATTTTAAGTGTCTCATTCTGCATGCCGTTAAGGTACAAATATAGCTAGAGTGGTTAACTGGCATTGAGCTAACACGACAGCTAACAGCACATCACCATGGTTTTCGATTACTAAGTTGCCTGCATCACTAATCTGTTTAACAAAACATGTCTGCAGTTGTGTCCCCTGTCAAAGACCTACCGATTGCTTGTCCATTCTTTGAGCTGACGATTTTCTCGTCAAAACTTTGTTGATCCTGACCAATTTACTCCATATCTGACCTAGCATGAAAGTGCCAGTCACAAAACAGTGAGGCGGGATTTCCGTTTTGTCCAATCACCGTAAAGACGAATGAGATTTCATCCAATCAGATCACGAGTCCGCGCTGAAGGGGCGTTATTGTTGATGAGGTCATCGAAAAAAAGCACAACGCAGGAGAGGTGAATGTTTGTTGTTGTTCCCCAGTATAGTGGACTTTATAACCTTGTGAAATAAAATAAAGCTTTTAAAATATTCTAAAAGTAAAAAAAAGTATGGATTACAAGTATATATAAATGTTAAGCCCAGTTGTCCACAATAATAATGAAAAACGAAAAATAATGCAAATAGTATTTTTTTTATTTAGAGGTTTAAAAGTCATACAATATAGAGCTCCAGAAAAAGATAAAATTTTCCAAAGAAAGGAGGAACAAAAAACATGCTTTTACTACAATGGAGAGGGCATGTCTCCCTTGGCATGCACTGAGTCAAGGCTTTTCCTGGGATCTGGTTCTGTAAGTCCTATACAATAACTTGTAGAACTAACCTTTTTCACTTCCACAGTGTATATGGAAAATAGGTGGTGGTCAGTGAACATCACTGAAATGTAACTGTTGCATTGTGGGAGGATTTATCTCTGATGAGTTAACAAGTGAGAGGCTTGGATTTAAAGTTAGAAACAGTCAGGCAGGTAATAGGTGGGGGGAAATGAAACTTTCAAATAAAACAACAACTACTAAACTCTAAATTTAAGTCCTGGTGGATTATAGTATTTGAGAACCACATCCACCATAAACAATGCAACCGTCAAGGCCCATAAAAAAGCCATATCTTGCTATCTGAAGCTATAACATCTCACAGGCAGCATTACTGTAAACCCCAGGAAAAGCCCGGACTCAATCCACATATTAAAAAAAAGGAAGAAAACAGATGGGGATATTAAATAATGGGCTGATAAACAAAACATTCACAAACAAGTGGAGTTTACTCCCCTTAACCTCCTCCATACTAAAACAGTACCACTCTCTTGTTCGAGGGGGCTTTACGCTAGCCTCAACGCAGACTGAGGCGGCTGACATCACAAGGAGACATTGCATCAAATGCAACCCTCCAACATTGCATATTGCCTGTATGGTGAAACAGGAGGTCTCAGCTACCTGCAGATTCCCTTGCCGCATGTCCGAGGGCTCAGATGGCGGGGTGATTGAGGTCTGCGGATTCCAAGTTCCCCTAAGACGATTCAAACAATCCCTCCAAGGTTGCCAGCTGGGGCGTATCGAGTCATATTTTAAAAAGACTTTACCTCTTTTGTTCTATTGTTTTGTCCAAGCAAAGCGATGTCCCCTTACCTTAAAAAAATGCAAACTGTATACTTTGAAAACAACCTTCACCATGTCAGATCAATAGGAAGTCAGCAGCTTTTTGGAGCACTTATGAATTCTGCTTGAAAACCTCCATGTAATTTCAACTCTAAATGATGAAACCAAAAAAAATTTTTTTTAATTTGAAACTAAAGTTTTTGCACAATAAATGCAGCAAATACGTCATTGATTTTTTTCTGTCTAAAATGTCCTCTGAAGAAAGTGTTGAGTGTCAACCCTGGGGCATCTGTTACAGTTCCATTTGGGGGAAGAAACCAATGTGGTGTTTCGCTTCGACCCCTAGTTGGCTTTCTGCAGCTCTCCTGCTGGGGGCGCACACGGGCTGCGCAAGCTTTTCTGAAGAACGTGGGCATCTGCTGGCTCTATCCTCTTGTAATAGTTCTTTTTTGTCTCAATGATCTCAAAGCCAAATTTCTGGTAGAAGTCAATTGCAGACTCATTGCTGATCTGCACATGACTGTAGACATGAAAGAGAAACCAAAACCATGTTACTTTAGCAAGTAAAAGACTCTTTACATATTCAGTGATTCATTTGGCAGCAGACTTTACATAGTTACTCAAGTATCAACATTAAACATTATATGAATGAGACAGATGGATGTTTCACAACAAATAAAGCACAAGACTGTTTTCAGACTCACAGGTAAATGTTGTCAAAAGTGCCATCCTTCTCACAAATGTTCAACACATGGTTCAGCATTTTTGTTCCTTCAAACAAACATGGCAAGATGCAGATCAGTAACTGGAAAATGTTCAAATAACAAAATTCAAACATCACTGCTCATGTGGATTACACAAGTCTTCATGTCAGGCATTGCAGGGAATCTGACTCCTGAATACCCTTTGAAATAAATGAGGACTCATGAGCACCTAAAAATGGTCAGAAAACAAATCTTACCAATGCCAAGTCTGCGGTAAGGTGCTAGACAACCCAGTGTCATGATGTAGAGGCGCTTCTGGTTCTGAGAGTGATCCACTCTACAGCACACGGCACCAACTGCAATGTCGTTGAAATACGCTGCAGAAGGTTTAAATGGTTAGCGGGAATCTATTTACAATACAGTTTAAATGTTTTAGCCAATACGATTTTAGAAATTAATATTTTCAGTCAGCAAGGATACATTAAATTAATCAAAAGTGGCAGACACTTATAAATGTTACAAAAATCTTCCATTTTATATAAATGCTATTCTTTTGATTTGAAATAATGCTGAAAATTCAGCTTTGCCATCACAGGAATAAATTTCATTTTAAAATATATTCAAATAGAAAATCTTCATTTTAAATTTGTAATAATATTTCACAATATTACCGGTTTAATGAATTTTGATTTAATAATTACAGCAGAACCTTTAGTGAGCAGAATCTTTGTGCAACTTAAAAAAAAAATAAATTGTAAAAATCGTACAAACCATAAACTTTAGAATGGTAGTTAATTACGTATCTTGACAAAAGCATCATTAGGAAGTCACATAAGCTTTGTTTCTTACCTAGCTTGGCGAGCTCTCCTACTTCAAGAACATCTTTGTAGAACTTGTCATTGTAGCTGACAGGGAAGATCACTTGGTTCAGCCGCTTCAACTGTTTAATGTTGTGGGGTGTAACGTCCCCCAACTCGATCCGGCTACTAGAACAAAAGCAGAATGGTCAACTAGCTGTACACACATAAGCTGTTCATGAGTACTTATAAAGCACTCAATAATGCCTGAAAAATTCTGCATGATGATATTCTACATCACTTAATTCTACCCAATACGTAATTAGGAGTTTGAGGCAAAAGTCATAGTTAAAGGAATAGTTCACTTAAAAATGTGATAATTTACTGATCCTCAAGTTGTTTCAATCCTGTATGAATTTCTTTCTTCAGCCGAACACAATGGAAGTTATTTTGAAGTATGTCGATAACCAGATAGTTGACGTACCAAAGTCAATGACTTCCATAGTAGGACAAAAAAATACTATGAAAGTCAATGCGGTACATCAACTCTATGGTTACAGAAAAATATCTTATTTTTTGTTCAACAGGTTTGGAACAAGTTGAGGGTGAGTAAATGATGACAGAATGTTCATTATTAAGTGAACCATTCCTTTAATAGTTAGTTAATTGTGAGAATTGGACCCTAAACTAAAGTCTGACCAAAAATGTATTGGGTCACTGTATGATCACAGTAAACCAGCAGTGTATAAAGCAGGTATTTATAGGAAGGCAGCATGCTGCAGCCCAACACCAACACAACAGCTGCTGGTCACATGCTCACCACTGCCACTTGAACGACCAGATGAGGTGACAGGAGAAAAACATGGATACTAAAAATGTAACCCATATTTAGTGTTCATGTTTTCTCCAGTCACATCATACTTGTGGATGACCATTACGATAACAAAACCTTATGATTCCCAAACATCACATCAAAGTGCACTGGTTTCAAATAGCAAGTCTGACCCCTACTGAGATAATGTCTCCCATTTTGTCATAAAGCAAGAATGACAATTCATTCAAATACTATCAAACATATTCAGAGAATGTTATAGTGACGGTCAACCTTGATCCTGGAGTCTCCCTTAAAAATACACATTTTTGGATGCTTTTTTTTAAATCAAACACACCCGATGCTCCTGTAATGGGTGTGTCAGATGTGTGTGCGCAAGTTACTGTTGGATGCCCTCCCAAAACAGGGTTGGGTACCACTGTATTGCTATTGAAGATGTGCATGTAAAAATTGAAAAAAAATTATGAAACTTAAATTGAAAAGTATTTAAAGAGAATTAGAAATGCAATGTCATTAATTTTCTTTTTACATGATCAAAGCATTACTTCAGTGAAACTATCATGACGCAACATTATATATTTATTACAATAATTTCATCCACCAAAACTCAAAGTAACTACCTTCATTAAGTGTCTTAAAAACCCCTAAACGTGTTCTGTCATTGTCAAAGAGGATATGCTGCTATGTGGCTAAGCTCACTCCATCACGTGTGTCACATCTCTCAATATTCACATCAAAATGTACACATATGAAAGAAATCAACATGACAACAAGCTTTAATGTCAAACTAACGGCTTCAGAATCCATGAGAGTTTATTTTAGAGGAATATAAGAGTGGCTGGCTAACCAAGATAGCAACTTGAAGACTGACTCAACATTTTCGGATTTAGATTCGACACACGATCCACTTTGGCACGGACTTAACTCGTGCCATTTGTACTGGCATTCTAATAAATCTGACGCTAGATTATATGAGGGATTTTTAAGGAGTTTTCGGACAACTGGTGAAAATGGTAAGGCAATGACTAAAGCCTGGGTGTGAAAATGCGGCGCAAATAATTCTTCTCCACATTAAGCGCGCAGAGAGCTAGCAGCTAGCATTAGACCAACTCCACTGCCCCCCTACTGGAAAAAAGAGAGAATAGAGGGGAAAACTTTACTTGAAATGAATAGACTCTTCTTAGCTGTTTACTCACCCTTTCATGTTGAAGAAAACACGTTTGTTGTGAGCGATACAGGGGCAGTTGGCGGTATTTGGCAGTCTAAAGGGGAATTTGGGCAGAGTTTGGGATGTGATCCCCTCCACATGTATGCTGCTAGCACACTAGCTAAGCAGTCCGCATTTGCCTCTGTGCTGTGGCCGAGGGTTGCCAGATCTTTGCGATTAAATCGCCGCAAACAATTTAAATCAGGATAAGCACCAAATTAAAAGATGTTATAATTGTTTTGAAATAGTCCTAATAGACTATAACAGTTAATGTGATGTGGATAGACATGAGCACGCGTTTAATCCTTGGAAATTCACTTACAATCTCACATCAGTAACAAGTCGAAACAAAGGATTTGGCAACGCTAGTTCTGGGCGACTGCTGCTGTCAACCTTAACCACTGACAACAAGCGACAGGAAACAGAAAAACGGGAAATTACGTTTAGGTAATTTTGTGCCCTGAAAATACAAGTCCCACCCTATTAATCCAAATAAAATAATGTATCGACAAAATATAATATAATTCTTAAGGCAAGACACCCCAGGTGAATATGGTAAAAAAAAAAAAAACACACACACACACACAAAAAACACTTTTTAAAAAAATACATTTAAATGTATAAAATCAGGCAAATTAAATATGAACTGTACAAATCTTCAGAATGTAGATAGGATTTAAAATATAAAGTCTGGAGTATGTAAATGCTGTTGAAGATCTTCTCAACGAAGGAGAAAAATCAAATTTTTGACAAAACAGCCTTTAAATAGCCGATATGTGGCCGACTGTAAAATCAAATCAGTAAAGATTAAAATCTATACAGTCTCTAATAGATAAAACAAGCAATTAATAGGCCTATATTAATGACATTAATACAAATAGAACAAATCAGTTTTTTTGCTTTGTCATTATGGGATGTGGAGTGTACGTTTATGTGGGAAAAGGACATTTAAAGCAGTTTAGCATAAGGCTGCAGCATTAAATTTGGGGGAAAAATTGAAGTGGTATGAATAGCTTTGCAACACACTCTGTAATAAATTAACAGTTGAATTATGTTGACTTACTGTTTGGATGTTCAGCAATTAGCCTAAACTTTTTAGCGTTGTGATCCATTAAAATCAAATCCACAGATATCTGTTTTTGTGCGTTGAGATTGCAACTGCATTAACTGCATTGTTGCACAAAACTCCACAATCATCATTGACTGACTTTTTGAATGTGTAGTACACATTTATATATTATATAATTATATTTTTACATAAACTGATTTCTGTTTTTTTTCTTGCATAAAGAAAACAATGAAGAAAACAGTGAAAACGGAGACATTTATTAGTCAGAGAAACTGCTTTGTTTACTTTGATTGCTGGATTCAAGTGAAGAATTCTTTAGAAATAATGATGTGTATTTGTGACCCAGAGAACAATAGAAAGCAACGGCGCACACAGTAGGGGGCGATATGAAGTTAAAAGCAAAGACACTTCACTCTGCAGAGGGAGAACGGGGCCGTGACGTCAGCTCTCAACTGAATGAAGTCAGCTGACTTTTTTTCGTATTTCGTTTTTCTCGTCTCATCTCTCACCAAAGGATCAGGACACAGGACCGTCTCATTATCTGAGGTATATTTGGAAATTATCAACATTTTTTTTTTTTAGTGCTGAGACCGCATTATACCGTGGCTACGTATTTACTCAAGATAAAAATATTATTATAGTATTTTTTTCTTAGATTTGCTTTGTAGTTTATTTATTCGTTAATAACCATTATTTAACTGATTAGTGTGCTGTTTTGTATCTACACTATGTCGCTGAATCACTGTTCGATTCGCATCTGCGCGCAGCTCGTATCTCTCGTGACATGTATATTTTCCTCTGCAGCACTGGGAATACATCCCACTTGAATCCTAAACAAATTGTGGGGCATTTCAATATATTATCTAGATAGATTTCCTCACGTGTTTCCGTATATTAAGATTTTGTAGCGCTTTGGGAGAAAGAAATTGCCTTAGATTTTCAGCAAAGGTCAAATCATATCAGCAGCATCGTCGTGATCATGTGATCATGCAGCATCTCTTTGCAGCTCAATCTCCATTGCAAAATACAACAGCTACACGGATTAAAATGTTTATAGAATATTAATATACTGAAATGTTTAATCTTAAAATCTTTATCAGTGCAGAGGTTTTTGTATCGTTTTTGACCACTATGACAGCCTCTGTCTGCTGTTCTTTCTCTCCAGTCAACAACAGCATTCTGTTTGCAGACCACGTCATTTTTTCTTTACTAACAGTACTTTACTATTATTATTAATTCATGATGTCAAAAGTCAGCTCTCTATGTTTTTTATCCTATTTATGCAGGATTGTTGCTTAAATGAATAGTCGTTCCCCTCAATGTTGGGCCCTCATGCTGTGTATGCTGTAGAGAACATAAATATTAAATGGATAATTTGTCCCCAATAATCCCAGATGTCATAGGAGAATCATGTGATTATAAATTCACAAAAACCTGGAAGTTCGACTGGTTCCTTTTTGAGGCTTCTAATGACAGACATAGAAGGTTATTTTTATGAATAAATGTATCAGTGTAATGCATTATTTTATATTATTTTGGGATGTTTAGTTGTAGTTATCAAATTAAAAAGGATTTGTCTAACAATACCACTACATAACACAAATTTTCCAGATTTGCTCAACTGTCTATTTTCCCCACTTCCTTGCATGGTTTCTTTTACAGTCAGTGTCATGTGCCCTTGGTCATGTGACACTGTTCCAATGTTTTGTGTCACACTATGCCTATATAAATGTTGCTTGTATAAATATAAATGGGCTTTTTACACAGGATAACATGAATACTACAAATATTTCTGATATAAATATGCAAAATGATGACTGAAAGAAATAAGAAAGTAATAAATCATCCAGATAGTAATCTCTATAATTACACTAATTTAATAAATGTATTATACTATTTTGTGTTAGACACACTCAAAATGGATTTCTCCAAGCTGCCCAAGATCCAAGATGAGGAGCGGGAGGGACAATTTGGATATGTGCATGGTGTATCTGGACCTGGTTAGTAGAAATTCAGATGTCATTTTATTTTATTTGTATTATGTCATGACTAAACAGAGCTTTTGTTGCTTTATTTTATTGTATTTTTTTTAATCATTGTTAAACTGTCCATAAGTCATTTTGAAGTTTCCATTTATTGTCACTGACTCTCTAATTGTGTTGTAGTGGTGACGGCCACCTGTATGGCGGGAGCTGCCATGTACGAGCTGGTGCGAGTGGGTCACTGTGAGCTTGTGGGAGAGATCATCAGGCTGGAGGGTGACATGGCCACCATCCAGGTCTATGAAGAGACATGTATCCTATTCTTACCTTAGAAAAGGACACACTTTCTGTGGTTGCTGTTATGCGCTGTGTAGAATCTATTAAATAGTTTTGTTGTTTTCCTGAGCTTTCATCAGCTGGTGTTTCCGTTGGTGACCCTGTCCTGCGTACAGGGAAACCTCTCTCTGTGGAGTTAGGACCAGGAATCATGGGTTCAATCTTTGATGGTATTCAGCGTCCCCTTAAAGACATCAATGACCTCACTAAAAGTATCTACATTCCCAGAGGAGTCAACATTGGTGCCCTTAACCGTGATCTAAAATGGGAGTTCACTCCAATCAAGAGCTTGCGTGTAAGAGAATGATTCGTTTATTTTTAAGTTAAGGTACTGAATTATGGAGGCATCACAATATTATGATGTGAAATATACTTATACTTAAATATACTAACATTATTTGTGGACCTCAAAGAAAATCAAATCAAATGTTTGTTTTTGTGTCCATCACAGGTTGGCAGTCACATCACAGGAGGTGACATCTATGGAACGGTGTTTGAAAACTCTCTTATTAAACACAAAATAATGTTACCGCCAAAAAGCAGAGGAACAGTCTCGTATGTGGCTCCACCTGGAAACTATGATGTCTCGGTGAGCCTAGTAACAGTAACAGTAAAATGTTAATTATTTGGATATGGAAGTCAATGTGCACGTGTTTGTTTGTCAGGATGTGGTGTTGGAGTTGGACTTCGAGGGAGTGAAAGAGAAGTTCACCATGGTGCAAGTGTGGCCTGTGCGTCAGGTCCGGCCTGTCACTGAGAAGCTTCCTGCAAATCACCCCCTGCTGACTGGTCAGCGTGTACTGGACGCCCTTTTTCCGTGAGTCATGTTGTATAAAATAATTCTATAATAATGTTAATATTTCCATAATTCTCCAAAATATGAATCATGAATCTAGCCCAATTTCTTTACAATAATGAAAGACTTGATAAATGTCAATCAAAAGAAATGGGAGTGGTTAAATAATTGGTTTAAATAATGAAGTACAGTAGAAGTTTTGGTTCAACAGCTCTTTTAGTTTTCCCTGTTTGATTTGACAGATGTGTGCAGGGAGGAACCACAGCTATCCCTGGTGCTTTCGGTTGTGGTAAAACTGTGATCTCTCAGTCCCTGTCTAAGTACTCCAACAGTGATGTCATCATCTACGTGGGCTGTGGAGAGCGCGGTAACGAAATGTCTGAAGTACTCCGAGATTTCCCAGAGGTGAGTTATTATTGAACCAACAGCACATGAAGTGTAATGGAAGGTTCAGTTGGGTGATTGACAGTTCTCTTGTCCTATAGCTGACCATGGAGGTGGATGGTAAGGTAGAGAGCATCATGAAGAGAACAGGCTTGGTGGCCAACACATCCAACATGCCCGTGGCTGCCAGAGAAGCTTCTATTTACACAGGTTTGTAGAGTATTTGATAAAGAAATAATGTGCACTTTAAATGTAGCGGCTGTGTTCTCATCATTTATGGGTGTTTATTCCATCTAGGAATCACGCTGTCTGAGTATTTCAGAGACATGGGCTACAATGTGAGCATGATGGCTGACTCCACCTCTCGATGGGCAGAGGCTCTGAGGGAGATCTCTGGTCGTCTGGCTGAGATGCCTGCTGGTACGTGTGCTGTGACTGTTCTCAGCCACCATGTAAAATATTATAAATGAAAAACTAAATTTGTGTATTGTGTGTGCTCTCATTCACAGATAGCGGTTATCCTGCTTATCTCGGAGCACGTCTGGCCTCATTTTATGAGCGTGCCGGCCGAGTTAAATGTCTTGGCAACCCAGAGAGAGAGGGCAGTGTGAGCATTGTGGGAGCGTAAGTACTTGATTCCATGCTTTTTCTTCTTCATTTGCTTCTTACATTTTCTTTTATATTTGATATAAAAAATCTTAAAATATATGACTATTGTTGTTACTGTTAATGTGCGCCATCTTTTGTTTTAATTGCAGTGTGTCTCCCCCTGGTGGAGATTTCTCAGATCCTGTGACTTCTGCTACGCTTGGTATTGTACAAGTAAGTGAAGATTCTAGATTTTCTTCTCATTGCAGTCATAATACTTGCTTATGGTGGTAAAAAAAAAAAACTTTTTTTTTCTTCAAGAGGTAAACGGTCTCAAAGGTCATATTATCTCTCATTCTGTCTTTCAGGTGTTTTGGGGTCTGGATAAAAAGCTGGCTCAGAGAAAGCACTTCCCTTCAGTGAACTGGCTCATTAGTTACAGCAAGTACACAAGAGCTCTGGATGAGTACTACGACAAACACTTCCCTGAATTTGTGCCGCTGCGTACCAAAGCCAAAGAGATCCTGCAGGAGGAGGAGGACTTGGCTGAGATTGTGCAGCTTGTGGGGAAGGTGAGTTTGTACACATTGCTTATACTTAATTTATTTTGTTGTATAATTATGTTGGATTATTATTATTATTCAGTCAATTTAATTGAAACATTCAACAACACATGTTATTTTTATTATAGGCATCATTGGCCGAAACTGATAAGATCACACTGGAAGTTGCTAAATTGATCAAGGATGATTTCCTACAGCAAAATGGATACACACCTTATGACAGGTAGTGAACACATGCTTGTGATGTGTATAAGCTGATGATTATTTGGCTTTTGTCACATTCGGGTGAATGGGAAAATTTGGAGGTAAAACATTCGATTTAATTTTCAGGTTCTGTCCGTTCTATAAGACGGTAGGTATCTTGTCCAACATGATTGCGTTCTATGATATGGCTCGTCATGCTGTAGAGACCACTGCACAGAGCGACAATAAGATCACCTGGTCCATGATCCGGGAGCACATGGGAGAAATTCTCTACAGGATCAGCGCCATGAAATTTAAGGTACAGGATGTAAACACGGATTGTTTTTGAGTCGTCCCAGATTAAATGATTCACACCCTGATTGTATCGAAATAGTCTGTGCCACTTGATTTATTAGAGCTTCCGTTATCTTGGTTTGTCAGTAGTTTGGTTCCTCTTTTATGCTGATTATTCACAAGTATCAGGAACAAGCCAAACAGTGCAATATAATCATATTGCATGCCAGAGGTTGAATATTATCTTCTTTTTAATTTTTATTTTTTTGAAATGTTTAATATATTTTTTAAACTTTACAATTATTTGAAAATACTTTCTGCTATCCAAGCTTAACATGCTTGTTTTTCAGTTCCACGCTGAACTGACTTTCACCTGTAAAGCTACTCTGTGTAACTCTTAATTTATTCTTAGCTAAAAACACTTAGTTCTTTTCAAAAATATATGTGCTCATTAATGTATATTTACTTTGTTCAAGTAATAAAGTATTCTCGTGAGTGTATAATATGCCTTTGAAAATACGGGTAAGGGGTTCTAATGTCGGTCGCCATGTTGCCCCTCCACCTTGAAAGTACGTTAGCCAAAGAGGGACATACCCGCTAATTCAAGCTTCGCCTTTTGCGTTTACGTTTGAGTTAACACTCATGGACGAGGTCGAACTGGAAGCCATGTTAATCTTGGACTACATTGGCCACCGTAGGAGTTAAAACGAAATCGAAATTGAGAGGAACAGAAACTAATATTCACTGGATGGTCATATACCTTTTCACCACTAGATGGGGGTAAAAATCACACTGTGTAGCTTTAAATTTAACTGTTTATGAAATAAAACAAGACTGTTTCTTTCTATTTATTTAAATGGTTTTATTTTAGTTTTTAAAATTGTCATTATATTCCATTTTCAAAATGTCTGTAACTGCATTTCAGGACCCTGTGAAAGAGGGTGAGGAGAAGATCAAAGCTGATTACGGCCAGCTCCACGAAGACATGCAAAACTCCTTCCGTACACTGGAAGAATAAAAAAAGAGTATTGTCTTAGCCATCATTCTCAGGGCAGGGCAGGAGAAACCACCAATCCCCCCCACCCCATACCCATACACACCCACAGTCAGTCCCTTTTCTCTAATACAGTCATCTTGTGGTGAATAGATGCTCCATTGTTGTGTGTGTGTGTGCATTTGTGTATATGTGTAATCTGTATTTTCCTCTTTAAATCTTCTGCTCTGTCCTAGCTCTTCTTTATATTGTATCATCCTCTCCATAGATATAGATGTTATTCAATAATTTGATGTAATTATTGTTCTATTTTTATCTGTACAGAAGATTAAAAGACATGACTTCAGAGGTTCAATATATTTAAAGCTGGTATATTTACAGTTCTAATGGTTTACAAAATTTGGTATGGCTGTTTATTGCTGTATTGTCCTGTATATTTTTTTGGAGGATGGAGTACACTTCCTCTTCATTGCTCACATGAAAATGTGTTTGAGTCCTGAAAAATGAAATAAATATTAATGAATTTACAAGTATTGTGAATTACAGTACTTCTGGCTGTGTTTTTGTGTCCTGCATGTTCAAATAGAATGCGTGTAGTGCTTTCTTTTAATGAAAATTAAGCCTTTCAGCCATTTTGCTAAATTATACTTGAGCAAGAATTCATCAAGTGATAATCTCTGAAAATGAAATATGTGAAAATATATTCCTTGCCACTATCATCCTTGTCTTACTCATGGAATGTTTTCAGGCAGTCATCATTTCACACATGTTTTGAAGTATGTAAAAATAAATTGGGTGGTGTTGTGTTTGCATCACTCTGTAGGGAGTAGTTCCTCAAGTATTTCTGGTTTTGTGTAAGTCACTGTGCAGCCGAGAACAATGCACTTCTTACCATTTTATGGTGTTCATATCCATTCAATAGGGTAAAAGAAACTGATTGCTCCTATAAACTCCATTTTAACATGTAGATTACAAATGTAGCCATTACTTAAGGTAAGAACTAAGACATCCAAATACTGTATGGGTCAGTTTTCATTGCAATGTTACACTTGCAATTTCTTACCCTTCAAGTTTGGTATGTTCTCAAAGGTTAAATGTCATGTTTAAGCAGAGGTGTCTTCTTTTACTATGCCATATTTACTTTAGGATATGTGCTTATGTGTGATGTCAGTGTGTATAACTGGTCTTACTGCATTTTCTCATCAAGTTCTTGTCAATACATTTCTGACACTTTCTATATTTCAGTCTTATCTCACTTGTTACATAAACAACCATAACTAACTTGTCTATGATTAGGTTTGACTTTACTATAGTGTTAGAGCTTATTTTAAATGCCTTAGGTAAATCTAACCTTATTAATGAAGATGTCCAAAGTGTCTAAACCTATTTAATTAATTGTCAATAATATTTGGTCATTTTATTAATAAAATAAATGAAAATGTAACGCCAATTTCTGTCATTTCAACTTGATTTTCCGAGCATGAAACAGTGTGGTCAAAATAGCTGTAATAGAATATGATTCAAACAGAAATATTTAGGCTACCTAAATATGCATTTTAAACTGAACAGACACTGCAAATAGCCTAAAGTAGCCTAATAAAGACTAATAAAAAAATGATATGCTAAATTTAAACTTTTATTATTCTGTAAAGAATTAAAATATAATTTTAAATGTAATGTTTTGCCAACTTTTATAGACTAGCCTACCAGTTTAAGCGAAATGCACTTTAAATCTTTCTTTGAATTTGACTTGACTCCTAAAATATGCAAATACAAAAGCTTGTTCTCAGCGTCGACTGTTCCTTCATGAGCTAGAATCTGACTGTACAGGTTGCCAGGTGTGAGTAGGACGGTCTCAATTACGAGACAGATACAGACAACAAGGAGACCGCAGCACGCGACGACTGCTGTCGAAGTTTATGAGCGTTTGGAATATCGGCGACGGTTGAAGCGTATGGTAACACTCTTACACCTGGATGTTACCAGGAGGACTAATACTGAACACGACCTTCTCTGGTATGTATTTTGTCTATGAGAACAAGCTTCTGAAGTTTTCTATTTATAGCCTATACATTCAATGTTCTGTAATGTTTCTGTCAACACTTTTAATAATAAAGGTTATTTTCATCAATTGTTCAAAGAAAATTTAACATCCATGGAACCCCAGAACAAAAGATTCTTAGTAGACAAATGATTCACATTATTAAAATGTCCTAAGAAAATGGTTATTTTAAGAACTGTTCACGCAAAAACATCATTTTGGAACCCTTCCTTTTAAGACTGAACACTGTAAAAAGTTATATTATATAAGTTATACAAGATTTAACTCATTTTCAGTCAGTTTAATGTAATTCAAGTTGATTGTACTTAAAAAAAATATTTTTTCAGTGAATAATGTCTAAAAAAGAAAACTTTTCACACAATATTAATAGTCTGTTTTGTTTTTAAGAATGAAGCTTTAAATAATTAAATAATTTGTAATACAGTCAAATAACACACTATTGTGTGCTTATTGGTTTTACTAAAAGCTGGTAGATCAATCAGATCATTATTATTCAAAAAGTGGTTTGGTAAAACATCATTACCTTCAAGTTTACTTCACCAGGCGAAAGGCATGACCGAAATACCAAAACAAGAGATGGGCAATGAGCTCACACAGGACAACAGTCAGTCTGGGGAAGTCAAAGAGAAGTGCACCGAAGAGAAAGAGGTTAGATTGAACATGCTGCTTACTTATACAGATTATATTGGTAGAAGTCCCATGGCAACACTGTATTAACTTCAATTTATAGATATGATATTAAGCAGAATTGTAGTGTACAGTTTGCTGTACTTTGTCCTTCAAAAGATTACAGACACTGTATCATGCATGAGATTACGCAACTGGCATTGATTGCTCAATGTTGTGAGATATTAGTAAGCTATTGCTGCTTTTACAGTATGTATTACACAGATTCACATATCATAATAGTACAATATTATTATTATTTTAACTTTTTATTTATTTACTTGCTGTGATTTTACCTCACAGGGTCTGGAAGTCAGTGGGCAGGGAATAGTAGCACCTCAGTCATCTGAAGCATTGCTTTACAGTAGTTATAAACAGAGGTGTGACGAGTTTCGGAAATTATTCAGAGAGGTGCCCGAGTCTGAGAAACTAATCGCAGGTAAGACTGATGGAGGGAGAAAGAGAGAGAAAAAAAAAAAAATGATTCAACTCAAAATGTTTGCTTTATACTATATTTGTATAACCATATTAGATGTTGTTTCAATGATCCAACTTTTTCCTAGACTACACCTGTGCTCTCCAGAAGGATATCTTGTTACAAGGCCGCATCTACCTTACAGAGAATTGTTTTTGTTTCTACAGTCATTTTTTTCGTGGTACAAAAGTGAGTTGTGCAATAAGACTTTGTCAATCTATGAGTTATGATCATGCCATTACCTATATACAGTGAGCATATCTGATATGCTTTATTAGGAATTTCTTTTATAGATTACATTGCTCTGCAAAAAGTGACAATAAACCTGATTTTGACTTAGATCATGGTAAATATGAAGGATGTCACCTCAATGTCAAGAGAGAAGACAGCTAAATGGATACCAAATGCTATCCAGATCAGTACTGATTCAGAAAAGGTGAAAATCAACTATCAATGTTTTTAAATCTTAATTTTGTTGTGCTTATGAAGACGAAAACAACATTTATATTTGAATTTTCCATAGTTGTTCTTCAGCTCATTCCCAGCTAGGGAGAAAAGTTACCAGAGTATATTTCGGCTTTGGCAGAATATTCTAATGGAGAAGGTAATTTCTTTCTTTTTGAATAGCCTACTTTTTTCTTTTTAACCTCACTATCACTGTTCAAAAATGTGTTGTTGTGACAGATGATTTAGCTTAGATAATCTTGATTGTAAATTACTGCATGTTTCTACTCTGCACATGTTTTGCCTATTCTCAAATATGATCTGAAACAGATATAAAATAGTACTTAAAAAGACATTCTTAAAAACCCGTCCATTATCAATTTTACTGTTCAGTGAGTCTTCATAGCCAACACACAAACTATTTATTTGTGTTAGGTAGCCCAGGGTGATTAGTAATGTGGCATATTAATACCATGTGAGGAAAACAGACAGAATACCCTACAGACCATTGTTCGGGGATGTGCTTCAGTGTAAACAACCTAAACCATAGGGTACAAGGCAGCATGAACATATAGTTCGTTAACCTCCATTGAGGGATGACTTTCTTCATCTGAAAACATTGCACAGAGATAATGCTGCCATTCATACATGTATGCGGAATTACGGTGCTGAAATGACAGAAGGAAAATTAGTATGGAGATAAACGACTAAAACCAGGTATAGCAATAGAGTCTACTGTTAAAGTCATGAATAATAGCTCACCACTAGGCGGCGCAGTTGTGGCCTTTCGTGGCTTCCTGATTTCAGCATGAGTGTTTCGCTGCCGGTTGCGAACAGGTTACTGGCGTTCAACAGGTAGGTGACCCAACCGGGAGCCTTTACTGACCGTTCAATTTAGCGTATGTTTAACAACATATTCTAGTTTTAGCTGTTTCTTTGAACATTTGATATGATTTTAAATAGGTGGGAGCTTTTTGGAGGTTTATACATCCATAAAATGTTTTCTCTTCGGTTTGTTTTATGAATGTGTCCGTGTTATACGGCCTTGAAACATTGTTTTGAATTTCGTTGCGCTTATTTGGAAACTTTTTTCACACGACGCGGCTGAGAATTGAATAATTTTTATATCTTTTTCTTACGGCTTTTGTTGTAGTTTCCGGTTGCCTTTTGTCATAAGCAAACTCTTGCTTATGTCCGCTGATAATGTCTGTCTATTTGCATGAAACGTATCTACGCCTTATTTCTATGGTAACTGTAGTTGTCGGCAAACTTATCGTTGCTACTGCGAAACCATAATTATTATAAATAATTTTATTCTTCATAAATCTCCATCTTTATCGTTACTGTTGCTTGCTTGTCATTTGCCCTTCCAACAGATTTGATCTTTGGTCAGTGAGGTGTGGAGCAGGTTGGGGCTGTTTTATGTGCTGGTTTAGATTAACATCAGCACAGAAACTTTAACGTTATTAGAAAAGCTTAAGTGAATTGTTTCAGTTTTTATAAGACAAAAAGTGCACATAGGAGGGACGGAAACAAGCAAGTGTGTATGTTGCTCAATGTTACTTTCCTTGCTTGCAGAAACTGACCAAGTTGGAGCTGTTGCAGATGATAAAGCAGCATTATGGCAATGATTTAGGATTGAGTCATGATGAAATGGAAAGCTTTCAAAGATCAGTAGATACTGTCACACCTACCCTGCCCAGGTTAACTACACACACCCATTCATATCTTCACATGCCAACAGCTGTTTGGACGAGTTAGTTACTTGAGTTTCAGGTCCCATCTCTCTGTTGCAGTCTGAATATGCGTGGAGAAGATTACACCGGGAGGCCAGAAAGGCCCACATCGCTTCGTCTTCCCCAAGGGGAGATGAATTCTTATGAGGCCACCACACCGCAGGGAGATGACACACAGTCTTCAGTTGGACTGCAAAGCATGCTCTCAGCAAACGGAGGGGTACGTCGATAAATATAGTTCCATTGGCAGAAGGATTCATCCTAAAATGCTTTGTCTACTGACCCATTTGGCTGGGGTTATATATATATATATATATATATATATATATATATATGTGTGTGTATATGTATGTTACACTTCGATTTTCTCTGGAATGGCTGAATATTGTTTTTTGTCTTCTTCAACCAAACAGTTTAACAGATTCAAAATATTGTAAAATGCAGAAAATAGTCAAAGCATGCTTCCACAAAGAAGCATTAACACAAGAAAATAATATTGAATAATTTGTATTTAAATGCATCTATAACAAACAGTGAAAATTTTGTAAAGTGAAAAACAACATCAAAGTAGGCTTAGACTTGTTGAACATTTTGCTAGAAAAGGTTTTTAAAAAAGTTAGTACATTTTAATACATCTTGAGTGATTTTAATCATATATATATATATATATACTATATATATATATATATGAAGAGTTCAGATGCAAAAGCCTCTAAGTGCCATTTGAAATTTTCTTCTATAATGATAATTTTTATCAAGCTTGTATATTTAAGTTCAGTGATTTCACTTAAATTTCAATGATAATTACCTATTAATGGTTATTTAAGTGAAATTACTGAACTTAAATATACAAGTTTGATAAAAATCATCATTAAAGAAGAAAATTTCAAATGGCATTTAGAGGCTTTTGCATCTGAACTCTTCATATATATATACACACACACACACACACACACACACACACACACACACACACACACAAAGAATCAATGAATCTTATTTTTGAACCAGTTGAGTTAAACAGACATTTTGCATTGATTCATTCAAATTAATTGATATACATGCTCATATGTATATGTATGATATACATGCTTATGAGTATGAGCATACATGCTCATGCTTTCGAGTGTAAATTTGTGTAATTAAACAGACTTTAAGAAACCTAAATTCTTAAAATATATCATAATAAAAGACAATAAAATAATTGATATTCTTAATGTTGTTTAATTTGATATTTCCAGAAAAGTCTTTGTGTCAATATTAAATATATTACCCCCAACCCTACCAAATGGTCAACTTGTTAATTGTTGAATATAAATCTATGTAGTTAGCAATTTATTTTATTTAAAGAAACTAAAGGTAGGTTTTAAATGTTAAAGAAACTTTAGGTCGATTTTATAGCAAAGTCTTTAAAGTAGAGCGGATGTATAGTCATTGATATTTGTGTTAAACCCTCAATAGGACGAGTCTCTCAGTACCCCGTCCCTTCAGCGCAGTCCAAATCTGTCATTAAACCGCTCGGGGTCCGAACGAGTATCTAAACGCTCCTCTCTCTCTCTGGATCTAAATGCCAATGAAGACCAGCTCTCTGATAACAGCAGATCTGACAGCCTGGAGGAGGGTGAGACAAGTATGTATGTTGCCTGCTTCTCATTTCATGGCTGTGTTGATGAATTTTTGTTTACATTAGTATTGATTTTTTTTTGTAGTGGAAGAATGTGAGACTGTGTCTCAGGGAAGGCTGTATGTGAATCGGGTCTTTCACATCAGTGCTGAAAAGATGTTTGACCTGCTTTTCTCTGATTCTAATTTCATGCGGAGGTTTATGGATGTCAGGAAGATTACAGGTACTTTGTTTGAAATTTAGTTTTTTTATTTGCTTTTATCATTTCTAAGTTTTTAAAGTTTATTTTTAAACTAATATTTATATATATTTTTATGTCAGTGTTATTTCAGTTACCAAAACAATTTTTATTTGTTAAAAGGTTAGGGTTAAAATGATTTTCAGTTACTGTTGGTTGGTAAACACAACATTCAAACTTGGCCCCTCAAAAGCTCAAGCCCTGTCCCCTAATATCAGTTGCACATGCAGCCCAGCTGACTCAAGAAACTACCAGCAGGAAAATGAGTGAGCTGTTTTGCAAATATTTTTTTTCTTCAATCATTGTGCTTACCATCATCCATAAATAGCATTTATGTGTATTATATGAAAGAACAGTTATGCTAATAGTTAGATGACTGGCTGTTGTTTGCTAGCTCACTAATAAACATTAATTACATGTCATCACAAAAATGTAATTACAATGACTAGTAATCTGTCAAGTTACAGACAGTTGTCAATAAGTCAGTAGCGGCATTTTTGTGTTGAGACACGACAACTTAACAGAACTTCCCAAGCTTCAGACACAGACCATACAGTCCCACCCTCACTTGCTCTGCACAACGTTATTAGTTAGGGCTACACACCCACTGGCCAAAGGTTGCAGCCCAGAAATGTCCTGAGCTCAGCAGTTCTAGAAGAAAATATGAAAATGCAGGCACAGGGCCTCTATAGATACAAGCACCACACATTTCTAGGGGGCCATAAGTAATGATTGACAGGCATTGTTTTTGTAAAAATCTATAAATCCTGCATAGTACACCTGTAATGATTAAAAAAAAAGGATTTTGCACATAATATTGTTTTGGCATGCTGTTTATGGTAACGAAAACATATCGCCTGACAGGTGCAACCTCTACCTCTTGGCAAAGGGAGGCCTCTGGTGGTATGAAAAGGACTTTGAACTACACCATCACCATTTCCAACCCCCTTGTTGGAAAGTTCTCCACTGCCACAGAGAACCAGGTTAGATTCGCCTCTGTATGGCTCTGTTACAAAACCTAGTGAGCTGCACCACTATTTACTTCCTACATAGGAGGCTCAAAAGTGACCGGTTTGTGGTCAAACAAATATTAAAAATTGTTTAACAACCTTATTGAAAGGCTGAATTTCTTTGGTTGTACTATCAGTTAACGTGCAGTATTTGGTTATGCCACATTTATATTTAGACATGGATGGCAGGAAGTGGCTGTGGTTGTCAAGTTCTGAGGGGTTATAGGTTCTTTGATTATTTTTGTGATATTAGCATCGGTCACTTCCACTTTTATCCTGTAAATCTGACAAACCGCCACGTCCAAGCTAGTTGTGTGTGCTTTGTCAATTTTTTTTAACTTAAAACTAGAGAAGTTTGCTTGTAGTGCCATTTCCAATGCAAAGAGTTTTCAGCTCTTGATCTGTGACGCATAGAATAATGACAAAGTATATAACTACTGTTTTGTTCTCTGTAAAAGTTAATTGGGCAATAGACAATTTTTGGTTCGATTGTAGTATGCAACAATTAACATTTATAAGAGAATTACCGTAATTACAAAACCACCTTAGATTGTTTGATCTAATTGTGACTAAGTTGATTGAACTTTATTTGATCTAAATGTGACTGAGTTGATTGCACTTTAATGTCAATCCAGTCAATTAGATTGAATAATCACAATAAGGTTTTTAATAATAATGGCTTCATTCATGCAATGAATGTAAACATGGTGACAGATAGTGTAAGTAAATATAGACTTGGACATACTGGTGACTTTAAAGATTTCATTTTTATATTGTATTTCTGCCCTTACTAAACCATGTTTGAACAGAACCATATTTAGCAATCCACATAGGACTGACAGCTGTGAATGCAGCCTCTGTGTGTATGTGGAATATTTTCTGATTTCTGTGTATTCTAGACACTATATAAAGAGTCACGAGAGGGTCAATACTACATGATAGATGCGGAGGTCTACACACATGATGTCCCTTATCATGACTACTTCTACACTCAGAATCGCTACTGTATCATCCGTAACTCCAAGCACAAGTGCAGACTCAGGTGAGCTGGTCTTAATATCTGTGCGCAGGGTTCCTACTCCTCTGGAAAACCTTGAAAACTTGAATAATTAATGACAAACTTTCCAGTCATGGAAAACATATGGAAAATTAGAGAAAGTGTCAAATGTCCTGGAAAATCTTGTTGTTGTCCTGGAAAAGTATTTTTTAAAAAGTTATTCGATTTTTATTTAGGCGAGAACAGAGAGGTTTTCACTGGCCAAAAACAATTACCGTTAGTTCCAGAAAGTACAATATTCTGGAATGCTGAATTTTGACTCAAATGGATGCAGCGAATGTTAAATGATAAGCAGCTACCTAATTCAGTATTTTGCTAACTAATAATTTTGATGTAATCTGATAAGGTCAACAAGATATTAATTGTGCACTGTATCCAGCAGTATTGATTATAACAGGAGTTTTCCTTGACTGTGATTGACAGCTGTAGTGATTAAAAAAGGAACACTCTTTGTTTGCTATCTGTATAAATTTTTTATTTTTTATGCTGCTATGTATACACACTGCAAAGTTTTGGGAATGACTAACTTATTTAAATGCGGGATTGAATCCAAAATTTTATTGATTGACATGGTGATAACCAGCATTAAATGGGACAAAATTCAGATGTCAAAATAGTTCATTAAGTGTAATTGCTCATCCACATGAAGACGCATTTAGCTGTCTAGTTTTTAGACGTAAAAACTTAGAATTTTATTTGCGTTTCGATACAAACAGATCTGGAGTTTGGGGATCCTAAAACACCGGATAAAAACTAAAGAAAACATTGGATGCAGGACTAAAACTAAAACTAAATAATGAAAAAAAAATTGCTGACAAAATGCAAACCCTGTAGTGCCTCTAACCTCTTTCGTTTTGACTATGGCACTGAAATCTCTTGATGTGAGAGCCATTTACTAAATAATCGAATTTGTGATCTCTCTCTCTCTCTGTTCAGGATTTACACTGATGTCAAATACAAAAAGCAGCCCTGGGGTCTTGTTAAATCCTTTATCACCAAAAACTCCTGGAGTGGCCTTGAAGACTACTTTAGACATCTTGGTTAGTATAATGATTTTCTTTTTTTTTTATCTCTCCCTAACACTCTATTTTACCTCTGAAAAAATCTATTGAAAACCAAGTTTTATTGTTCTTTATATGCCCTTGTGATGTTTTCAATATGCTTTAAGACAAAACCCATTTCTGAGCATTTTCTCCTTGGTTCTCCATTTTCACCATCACTTTCCTGTGATCTCCAGGCGCTCATATTAATGCAATTACAATGATTTTTACCTCACAAAACAGAGGCAGAGCTGCTTGAAGAGGAGGCAGAGTTGACTCAAGGAAGCGGAGACGCTGGGAAGATAAGTAGTTTGCGCAGAAGGCGAAGAACCTACAGTCGCACCCTACAGGAACACATGAAGCCAGGGAAACAGTACAGCGCAGACTCTGATCAGCAGAGAGGCGGCACCATGGGTATAAATCTGTCTGAAAAAATAATATCTGAATCCAAAATCTCTGCTACTGGCCATAAAATACTGATAAACCCTAGAAACAGATACTCTTACTAATCAGATGTGCTTATTTGGTGGTCAGTTTTTTTTATATTCAAGCAAACATGAATATATTGTGTTTTAGACACATTGCGTTTTACATTACAGGTGCCTTGGACATAAAGAACACACCACACAGATGGAACATCACTTCAATTGTATTTGGGATGAGCTTAATGTAAGGCTTCATTTACTCTAAGGACTGTTTCACACTTCATTCATAAGCAGTGTAAGATTAAGCCATGTTTACGCGTATGCTAGGGTTCGTGTACAGTGTGCATGACAAATTTCGTATACTGTACATGTCATGCGCAGCCTGATTTTTCTTAACGCATACACATTGGTTCTTTAGCACTTATTAGTTTGTCCACATGGTGGCAACAGTGCTACAAGGACCATCGTTTCACAAGGTAGTTAAATATCATTTTTTGCCTTTTTGTCGTCGACCGCCTGTGGATGTGTATGCGCAAAGGTGAAATGGGGTACACTTTGAAAGGCTATGCGTATGCGCGTCATATTTAATGAATAGAGAGTGTTTGAAACCCAAAATTCCAGAAACTTTCAGTGTATCTCAGATATACTGTCTAAAACTAAAATCCATCAGTACATTAGTATATATTGCAAAAGATTATATATACTATACAATTATATATTATACATTATCTACTTAAGTTAGAAATAGAAAAACAGAGAATCTGAGAATTAAATGTTAATATGGTTACCAAAATTAATATGAACTGCTTAAATCTGCGGGGTGAAGCATGGAAGGAAGACTACTCATTTTAACCATGGTCATTTAGATTTATGTACAAGACAAATACTTATTGTGCTTATGAATGTGACATTGTTTTGCCTTTCAGACTTTTCGTTCTGGTGGTTCTGAACTTGGGGCTGTTCTTTAAACTTTGGGCCATGGAAGATGTCGCTCATCGTATGTATCTGAACACCAAGCACAGAATGAAGGAGAGAGTAGTGTCTAGGTAAAGGCGCTTTCAAAAGACATTGTATTTTGTCTACAAACAAAATTGACTTACTAACTGTTTTTATGTAGTTTGGCACCTGACCTAGGGCACAGACAGGGTATGCCACACAGAAGTCAAGAGGAAACACATCTACTGAAAGCAGTACTGCAGGACTCCATTAACCTTCTTGAACAAGTATGTTTGGGTCCCTTATTAAACCCATCCTTTAATGACACGTAAATGCAAAACAAACGGTGGTTGTTCACCATTACTCATCAGTGAGACTTTTTTTCCTGTCTAATTTAGCAGTTCTTGACCAGAATGTTGATCTTTTGGTGTTAGTCAAAACTACTGTTGCTACATGACGAGGTTACATTACATGTGTCATCTCTTTTGGCTAAGAGGTCTATTATGTTATTTATTTATATTTCTGCTGCTTCCTCCTTCACAGCTACGCAGTTCTCTAATGGTGCTTCAGCAGAACTTTCAGGTCTACAACCGATCCTCCTCTCAGCTTTAAATGGCATTGGGTTTGGTGACCTGATAACACAAGGGTATTCTTCCCATAAGACCCGTCCTCGCTGAGGAGTGTTGCCATAGGGCTAGTCACCCCAGGGCAGACTCGTAGCCATGTTCATCATCTCTCTGGGCTTTTTTGTTGTGGTTGGATGTTTTTTTTTTTTTATTGCCAAAGCTGTTTTTGTCTCGGATGGGATCGTTGCACTAGCACACTAAATCTTGCGAGTTTCTTCTTGAATTTGCTAACTTGAACTTGAAGCTGTAGGAGAAAAGTCTTTTGCTTATTCTTCAGAGTTGATATTGATGAAGTGAAGGTAACCACAATGTAGCAGGTTTAATCACAAAGGGTTCTCATTATCATGTTCTGAACTGCTGGATGCTTATTTGATGTCCATTTTTTTCTGGACTACAACAAAACCCTTAATTCTCAAATATGTAATGGATTGATTGCAGTTGCACATGTCCTTATTTTTGATTATAGAGGGGGCAATGCAGGCCCATTGCCTCCAGTTCACATGTTAAAGATCTGCCTAAAATTTACTCATGTGGCTTTTTTTTTTGTCTTGATTGAATGCTCTTGTCTTTAGATACCTCTAAGAATTTGTAAATGATTGCACCTTAAAACATTATTAATGCAGGGATCACCACTGGCAAATGATTGTGCATATTAAAGCTGTAGAATGTTTGAAGTTCTGAATGCTCATCAGGATTTTAATAATGTGTTACAGTGGTGGTTCATATGGAGAAGATAAAATCTCTGACGTTTACTGTAAATGATGAGTTATGTTTTACCTATAAATTGTTTACACATGGTTGTTCAACAGCTTTTAGGGACTGTATTGTCACATAAAGTAAATTTATGAATTAAATGTTTACTTGGGAAAATAAAAAAATGTGTGGTAATACTCAAGCATTCCAAACTTTAACAGAAAAACATTAGGTGAATGTGTATAGATATATATTTTTTTCTCTGGATATATTAAGACATTTCTTCTGAAACTATTTATAAATAAAATTCAATTTGTGAAGTTGAGATTTTATTGATTTCATTTTAATTTTAGATTTTTTTTAATGATCTTGTTAGATACTTATCAGATATGTAGTCATACTGTTGTTTAAAACATATGAAGAGTTCAGATGCAAAAGCCTCTAAATGCCATTTGAAATTTTCTTCTTTAATGATGATTTTTATCAAACTTGTATATTTAAGTTCAGTGATTTCACTTAAATGGCAATGATAATTACCTATTAATTGTTATTTAAATGAAATTACTGAACTTAAATATACAAGTTTGATAAAAATCATCATTAAAGAAAAAATTTTCAAATGGCATTTAGAGGCTTTTGCATCTGAACTCTTCATATGTTCATTAAGTAACGTTTATAATCAGAGGAAATGAAATGTTCCCACTGACGTCAGGAAGATAAAGGCGGTCTATTCGACACACACACACACACACACACACACAGCGCGTGCTTTCTGTTCACGGTTGCTGCTGTGTATTCTACGCGACTTCCTGGTGCTCTTCCTAGATTTGGACTGCTTTAGTGTTTCTTGTGCAGCTGCTCGTCGACTGTGGAGTTCACCGATGATGAAGCAGAGTGGTAAACATACTAGAAGGTTCCAATACCGAGAATGAGACTAGGACAGCTGACGCTCATACTGACAGCACTTCCGAAAGGAACTACTTTTACAATATGACTGTTTTGTGTTGTAAGTACGAAACGTCGTTTGCCAAATGCTACGTTTCGTAACATTATGTCCCTATTAGTTTATTTACGGAGTAACTTACTATTGTTGTTCGACGTAGACTGCCAGCGTGTCATTTATCAGAACAAACGACACCGACTTCACATCCTACATGCAACTTTCCAGTCTAGTAACCTGCGCGTTAGAAAAATGTAAATTAAATATGTTTATATTTAAAATATGTTCAACGTACTTTCTTTTATGTATATATGTATGTTTGTAGTACAAGGTCATGGGTTCTATCCCTAGTGAATTTATGAAGAGATCAATTGAATAGGCCAATCTTGTATGAATAATACTACGCTACGGTATATGTATACGCTTTGGAGGATGATGATGAATCGAGACGAGATCTAAAATTTAAATTTGGTTCCCTCGCAGGAATGATACGGTTTTTTTTTGTTTGTTTTAATTTTTTTCCGCAGGAATGATACCTGCCCTCACCTATGTTTTCTAAGTTGACGTCATGACGAAGAGATCCCGTCGAACACTAGATCAGGACGATCCTCTGTGCTGTTGTGAGTACATTGATCGCCATGGCGGGCGCAGTCACATGGCTGCCTGTTGCTGTGACTGTGAGGATTTGGATGAGGCTTGTGACAGGTGAGCGAGAAGCCACTAAAATAGCACTTTGGATTCATGGATTTCTAACTTGGTGTCTGTTCACACTTGTAGTTAATTTCTCTTGTTTTAATTAAAAAGAAAATATACCTGGTTTGCAACAGAACTTTCCAAATTCCAACCATTCGAAACAATGGTCTGTTCTGAGTTAAATGAGCTCATTGTATCATATGGCCTACATATGATGGCATCTTAATCACCTGAGAACTACAAACAGCTTATAAAATGTGTAAAGGTGTCAAATCAGCAGCAGGAATTCCGAGATGGTTCTCACTGTAGAACACATAATCCAGGGGGAGGAGTTAGATCCAGATCCAACTCCTCCCACCTTACATTTACCTAATCCTACCATCTCCACCCCCTGGACCTCATGTACTTCAGTGAGTTGCTACTGGGAATTCCTCCATTGCACACACAGAAACATCTGCTGCAAGGAGATGGTGTTTTTCGACTCCTGTAGTACTAAACTGTAATGGGCCACGTAGCTATTTATTGGGAGGATGCATCTTGTGACTTGACATCACATCCTGTTTTTGTTTTTTTGAGAATGTCTTTGGTCCATGTTGCATACTGTATATATTTCAGTCGAACGGCACCAGAGTTCACTTGGAACCCCTGAAAATGTGGGTCTCGGTCCACTTGCTTTGAGCATGCCAAGGTTCGGATGGCAGCTTTTAATACTTATTCAAATGAACTGCTCTGTCAGAGCCATCGCACAAGATCATTTATATCAAACCAAACCTGCCAAGTGTGAACACACCCTTACAGGGTTAGTTCTCCCAAAAATTGAAATTCTGTTATTACTCGCCTCATGTCGTTCCAAACTCGTAGGACTTTCGTCATCTTCGGTATACAAATGAAGATCTCTTTGATGAAACGAGAGACTCTGAAGAGACTATCAACATCAGCAAACATTAACAGAAGCACATCTGAACCTGCTTGATGCATGAGAACAAACTTATAAATTCATTATGTTCATGATATACAGTGTTCGAGTCTCTTCAGAAAATGTGGACTAAACCGCTCAAGATCTCAGATTTCATCAGAAAGATCTTCATTTGTGTTAAAAGATGAACGGAAGTCTTACAGGTTTGGAATGAAGAAATTTACTCACGAGGGTGAGTAAATTATGAAAATTAACAGAATTTTTTTGGGGGTGAATGACCCCTTTAAGTACAGTAAAATGTGTTGAATGACGAATTTGATAGAATATTTTATTTTCCAGATGGATGAAGAAGGAGTCTCAAAATCCAGGCTCTCTGTCTCGGGTAGTTGCCACGATCAGTGATCGTCTGCGGGTGCCCTGGATATCTGGTGCCCAACAAGTTGATCTATCGTTGATCCCTCCTCTTATTCTCCTTCCTGTTTTTTTGCACATTGCAGCTTTGCACTACCTGCTGGGTATTGTAGTGCTAACAGCAGTGCCTATCATGGTCATTTGGTACTACTACTTTACTCACCGAAAGAAAGGACGCACTTTATTCTTCCTCAGCCTCGCCCTCTTCTCCCTCTTCTACATGTTCTACCTCTTCATCACCGAAGTCGTCCCTCGCGGTGATGTGAATCATCTTCAGTTGTGCGCTGTGACGGCGGGTGTTGCTCTTACAGTCATTTGTCTCATAATCACCAAAAGGGGGCCGGGCTACGTCAGGCCTCTTCCATCTGACACTCATAGCACAGTGACCTATCACAAACCACCACCTGATGTAGATGCTGCCTATCTAAACGGAGAACAGCACCAGGTGGTGATAGCCAACCACGCCGGTCCTCCTGAACAAACTGATGAATCTGGGACAGCACAGGAGCCTGTTCAGAGGAGGAACTGGTGTACAGTATGCAAAGTGGTGCGTCCCCCGAGAGCCGGACACTGCAGGATCTGTGGAGTCTGCATCCTGCGTCTGGACCACCACTGTGTCTGGTGGGTTCTTTATTCAAGAGGGTATCAGTTATTATTATATAATAGGTTAATTCAATAATAATACATATTAAAGGTGCAGTGTGTGATTTTTAGCGCCTTCTAGCGGTCACTACTCTAAACTACTAAAAGTCACTACTCACGGTGTCTATGGCTAGCTTCTTCTAGCTTTCTGCGGCAAGGTAGTGACGAAACACCCTCTGTAGCGCTGTTTGTTCGCGTTCGGCTTTGGTAGAAACATGACAATCACAATAGAAGGGGGTGTCAGCGGTTATATAGATATAAATGTCTCATTCTAAGGTAATAAAAACGTTACGGTTTATTAAGTTCTTTACACACCACTGAAAACATACTTATGGATGTCATATTACAATTTCTGTAAATACATTATTAAAAATTATTACACATTGCACCTTTAATTTCATCTGCAGATGACATGTTTGGGCAAAAATCAAAAGACAAAACTAAGCATAAAGAAAATAAAGCCTGTGATTAGCATCATTAGTATTTCTGCATTTAATTACTTTAAACCCAAACAAAAAATTAAACACATTTTTCTCCTCAGAGTCAAGTTCTCATTATTGTAGCATGCAAAAATCTAATTTTGCAACAAAAAGGAAAAATAAGATATTAAAGTGCTTTATTACATTTAAAGTATTTAGCAATTTGTACATTTAATAAAAAAAAATATTTATAATACTGCCTTCTGCCTTAATTTATTTATGCTGATTGTAATGTATGTGAACATATAATATACACTTTATTTTAGGAAGTTTTTTTATAAGTCATTAAATATAATTATAATAATTTTTATAATTAATAATAATTTTATAATTTGAAATATATGAGAGTATGAGAATATTTTTATTTAGTTTGACATGAACGTAATGTCAAAATAATGTTTTAAACACAAACATAAAATTAAACTCATTTTCTCCCCAAGTTCTCATTATTGCAGCATGAAGATCAAATTTTACCAAAAAAGGAAAAAATAAATACTTAGCCATTTGTACATTTCATTTAATTAAAACATTTACTAATTTAATTCATTTTATTTGTATTTATAAAACTGGCTTCTGCCTTTAATTTATGCTGATTGTAACGTATGTCTACATATAATATACATTTATTTTATATTTAATTTAAAAACGTTTTGCAATTCATACAAAAGTCTATTGGAATTTTAGTTTGCATTTGACATGGTTGGGTTTGTGATCATTCCCAGGGGTGTCTTGTTTGCCTATTACCACTCTAGTGTTCAAAATTTTTCTGTGTTCCTTTTCGAGTCGATCAGTTTTTTTGTGTGTCCTGTGAAATATCTTGTTCTTCATGTAAACAAATGTGTAATTGAGACAGTGAGTTGATCTCACCCTCTTCTTCTTGTGTTCTTCTTACTCTGTGAATCTGATATGTGTAAATGAATCTCCAGGTCTCAGTTCGGTGTCTTGTTGGTCATTTTGTTTTTGTGGTAGGATCAACAGCTGTGTGGGACAGGCCAATCACCCCAGTTTCCTTCTGATGCTTGTTTTCTTTCTACTGACGTCGCTGTACGGGATCAGTTTGGTTCTTCAAAGCGTGTGTCCCCATCAGAGTGTGATGACGGCACTGTTCTACTGTCCTGACGTCTACAAGCAATACAGGTGTGGATTCTGCTGTTTAAACGTTTCTATTCACCACCTCAATTCCTTCCAGTTCATTAGTTAGTCATGAAAAAAGATGATTTTCTTTTCTGGTAAGTCACTTTAAAATAGTAAATTTAATGGAATTGTGTTGCCATTTTACACACACACACTTAGTATTTATATATATATATGTATGCGTGTATGTATGTATATATATATATATATATATATAAAACTACCTATTGTAGTATTTATTAACATTTTGAATTGGCTTTATTTTATAAATCCTTTTTTTATTTTAATTTAAGTTTTAGTAATTTGTTTTATTAGTTTGTCACTTTTAGTAACTAGTACTTCCCAACTCAAACTTTTAATGAATAAATTTCAGTTAGTTGTCAACGCTACATTTTTAATTTTTTAAAAGTTAAGGTTTTTAATTTTTATATTCTATCTCAATTAACAAAAAAATATTTTTGTTAATTTAGGATTAGTTCTAGATAACAATTACAATTCAAATTAAAAGAGCTAAATTGAAAGAGCGAAATTAAAGTTTCTTTAACATGAGAAATGAAGAAATGACACATCACCTTTACATTCGGCACGAGACGGAAATTGCAATAATCATTTCTTCCCTATTCTGACATGTCCAAGTGAAAGGACATCTCGAACAAGAAAGGAGTGCATTAGTGCCAATCCACTTTTTCAGCAACACTGGTTCTGGAAGTGTTTTTTCTATTCACTTCTCCCATAGGGGTTTTTAAAAGGATTCATGAACACGCTATAAGCCATGAACCAAACCCAACCAGCAACGAGGTGAATCACAACATTACAGTCTTTGAATAAATGATGACAGAATTTTTAAGTGAACTACTCCTTACATCTTTAGTGAGGGAAAGAACTACAATCCCATGAAAGTGTTGTGAACCGCATAAACAATGGAGAAATATCAAACTACAAATTCTATACAATTATGGGCTGACAACCTCGTAGCTCACAACAATCTTTCTTTTAAGATTTATCATTAATGGAGATAAGACAGGTTGTCCTGCCCTCGCACTAGTAAACGCCATCAGAGAAGAGATCTCACTGCAAGAGGGAAGTTATTTTGATTAAAGATAATGAGGGCACATGACTTAAAAAATAATCATGGAATCTGTTCATGGATAAATCATTTATAATACATACTGCAATATTTCATTAATAAAAAATAATAAATTACATGGTGACTAAATTTTGTTCCTCAAGTTTAATACGACTGTTTCTAGCGGTATTTATGGTAATCAACCGGTTTGTATGTCTTTCTGTCGGCCAGTTCTGCTCTGTGTTTCACCTGTGCCTGGTACAGCAGTATTGTGACGGGAGGTTTGCTGCACCTGCTGATCTTACAGCTCATCAACGTCAGCTTAAATGTGACCGAACGTGAGGCATGCCTGGCTCTTAGAGAGAAAACCGCTCGCAGACGTCTCTGGGGTCTGGTCATCGACACCGGCACCTACTCCCGAGGTTTCTGTAGCAACTGGACTGAATTCTTAACCATGAACAAGGCTCCAGAGCAGTCAAACCATAAACCATCAGATCTGGTGTAGACATTAAACTGGCAGTGTCAGCTGGCAGCTGATGGAAAAGTCTGCCTTTAAAGTGAATTATCACTTTTATCCTACAGTGAAGTATAACGTTGTGCTACTTAATGCCTTCAACATCCATTCCGGAGTCAGTTTTATGGCTTGAAATGTTGTGGTCAAGGTCTCATCAAGAGTCAGGTGAATGTGGTGGAACAGTAGATGGCAGTGTTGTAGTATAACATCTCTACTAGTGTAATTCAGTACCGAGCGCTTCATTACTCAGGAGTGAAGATTATTTAAGGAGAACTTCACATAATATCTAATGTCAGGTGCAAAATCTCTAATGCAAAATTCTTTTCACTCAGAAGGAACCATTTGAAACTTTCATTTGTATTTAGTTTTTCCAATTTTGCAAGGTTTTATTTGTTAATGTAAATTTCAACATTTTAAACACAGTTTTAAAACCAGCATGAACAAACAGTAAACAAATGTATTTTTTATTAACAAAGTAAAAAAAGAAATGCTATAAAAACTTTACTTATTGTTAGTTCATGTTAGCTAATGCATTAAATAATGTAAATGAGACCTTATTATGAAGTGTTACCATAAATATGCATTTCTGGTTTGCATTCACTGGCAGTTGGATAAATTATGTATTGTAGTCTAATATTTGATCTCAACTCCAATGTGAATGCAAGTCAATGTCAAATATTATTTAGTGCCCTTTTGGGACATCAGTAATGATGCAACAATGCATATTCAGACATCACAGCTTTAAAACTGTCATCTCAGTATAAATGTTTTATGTTGAGCTTCATGTTTGTTGTTGTTTGTTCTCTCTCTCTCTGTGTATGTGTGTGTTTTCTTTTCATGTGCTTCAATTGAGGATAAATCTATGCTGCTTACCATCCAGCTACATTTCAGTGTTTTTGAATCGGTTTCATTCCATTCATGCCTTCTAAGCACAGAAGCAGATAAAGAAGCCGTTCAAAATCCGGATGTTTATTTGTCTCATGCGAGACTGTTTTATAATGTAAAGCATTTCATTCTCAAAGAACCTCAATTAAACTGTTCCATAGAAAAAATAAACAAGCGTAAAAAGATTAAACACGTTGGCTCATCAAGCTGCAGATGTTGTCAGTGTCATTTAATGGTGTGATGTAAAGCTTGGTATTTGCAGCCTGTGTGCTGGTTAAAGAGGATTTACGGACCGCCACAGGGAGTCAATAGGGGAGGCGCGGAAGTCAGGCAAAATCTCTGAGACTTTACGTCTGAGTTGATCTCTGCGTTTCTCTCTTTCCTTCTCCTCTCGTAAGACAAGAGGAAGATGCCTCCAGCTAGCAAAACACTTCTTGACAGCTCTCCTACAAAGTCAGAGTAAACTTTAAATTCTTTTATAACTCCACAAGTTCATCTTTAGATTTGGCCTTATGGTGCAGTAAACGGTAACATTCACACTAAAATGAGGTAAAGACCTGCTGTTGTGCTCCTCTGCCCGCTGCTCATTGTCCCAGGCTGTTATTCGCTCTTCTGTAGTGTGATCTAGCAGTGCCGTGAACGCCTTCCTCTGGGTGTGTATCCTGTGGAACCGCTCGGCTCGTGCTTCCAGGATACAACGCAGATCTTTTAACTGGTAAGTATTGAAACCAAAGGCAGAAAATTACTCTTACTTTAGGTATAGGGGTTACTAACAGTAACCCTAAATATTAAAATTAGGCACCTAAATATGCAGTGAGCTCTTTTTGCTTGGGCCAGTAAGAAACCACCCAGAAAATATTAGTAAAAAAACATTAGTATTAGTCCCTGTTGGTGAGTTCTGATGATAATTTCTTCAGAAAATGTAAAGATAATAAATGTAGTACAGTGTATATTTTTTTATATATTAATTTATTTAATATGAATTTAAATTTAATTTATTACAAATGATACAATATAAAGAAATGTTATATATATATATATATATATATATGTGTGTTTGTTGTAAAAAATATATATATATACATATATATATATATATATATATATATATATATATACAGTATATTTACAACAAACATTTGTATTAAAGTTAATCATTAAATACTTAATTTAATTTATTGTAAATATATTTATAAAAAGCTGATAATTGGCTATTAAAAAAATTAAGTCTGACATTGAATTTATTATAAACAAAATTAATTAAATGCCTTTTAAATAAGTATTTTAAAGACTTTAAACTAACAAACACATACAAATATAAAAATGAGTAAACAATAAATATGCATTTAATTTATTATGAATAAATAAACATTTTAAGACATTTATTAGACACTTGTGGCTATACCAAATTTAATTATAATATGCCTCAAATTGTTTAATTTATTATATAAAATACAAAAATATTTATATAATATAAACATTATTAAAATAATGAGTGAATAAATTTGAGTTATTTATAAATTAATGTACAATAAATCGATAAGACTATTTAAAAAAAATAATAGATAAATAATACATATTATAAATTAACTAAATTATGTATAAAAAGTTGATAATACACTTTGTGGCTATCCCCAAATTGGCTTTATGCCCAGCTGCACTACTTCCTGAACTTCAGCCAGCTCCTTGTTTCCTGTCTGCCATTATTGGCCAAATTGATTAATTCAGGTGTGTCTGATTATTGTTGCCATGACTACTGAGGTCAGGCACACCTGAATTAATCAATTTGGCCAATAATGGCAGACAGGAAACAAGGAGCTGGCTGAAGTTCAGGAAGTAGTGCAGCTGGGCATAAAGCCCATTAGTCTGTCTTCAAATCTGAATCTTTTCTAATCATTGACAGGTAATGCGTGTGTGTGTGTGTGTGTGTTTTACCCTCGTCCAGCTCCGCACAGCCCTCTGAAGCAGGATCCGGTGATACAGCTGGTTGGCACTAGCCTCTCTCTCTGCGTGGGCTTCATCCACACACTGCCGCCAAGAGCAGAAGCAGCTTCTCTGCAGAGCCAATGTGTAATGATCCACCGCTCTCTGGAGGAGACCGAAAAGCCAAAAGCACCCGAACATAAATAACTGCCAGATTTAATTAAGTGTCATCTCATGCACTTACTCCCATGGTTTATATGGATCGCAAACTTTCCCTGCTGACTTCCTCTGAGAACTGTAAAGATAGAGGCACATGCAACTAATTGGACCTTGAGGTTTGTGTTCTCATGAATGTGGATCAATATCTAAACAACAATGCAAATTCTGAATTCAAAGCCATTCCGTCATCTGTTTCTCTCTCAGTGTCTTTCCTCATCAATCTCTCCCTCTCGGATATCAGCTCTGTTCATTTGTTTTGAAAACAGGTGGTTAGCCAGGTGGAAACGCAACAGTATACTGTAAACATCATTAAAATTTGGGGAACGGACCAAGAGTTAATGCAATGCAACAGCTGGTCTTCCTGTCTGTGTGTGAGCGGCCATAACTCTTTGGATGAATAATTGAGTGTGTGAGAATCTGAGACGAATGGCCCACATTGTTACTGTAGGTCATGAATGCGTGTGTGTGTGTGACCTGTGTGTTGACATGGCTTTGCTCCAGCAGGAGTTTCCATGGTGCCAGGCCTCGGTGCAGTAACAGGGTCCTGAGGTAGTGCTGGGCCGCCACCCTTGACAGTTCCTGTTCCCGTTCTGCTCTCTTCTGCTTCTCAAGCTCCTTCTAAGTTCATATAAACACAACCACAGTTCCTTAAAACGAATAAACTAAAAAAAACTGTGTATAAACATGATAAATAAATTAGATGAACATTTTTGTTTACATTTTCTAGATGCGCTTGCTTATGCAAACTCGTTGGCTATGTTGAATGTAGCTAAGTTATTCTGATTGTTTTTGGTTTTTTTAGCATACTCTAATCAGTTGCTAGGGCGTTCCGGTTGGTTGCACACTGGCAATTTGGTCCCTAGATGAGGCTTGCGATATTTATGACCAATTTCATCATCCCTAAAAGCTGAAAATCACCAGAACGAGCTGAATTACAAGTGAAAACGCACCTCTCCTTAACAAGCCGCAAGATTTGAGGCATCACTCATGTACGAAACACAAAGTGCAGCTATCATTATAGTGACATAATCTAATGATGTAAAGCCTATAAATCCATGATAATGTGTTTCGTCGTCACAGACCTTCCTCAGCTGCCTTTTCTCTTCCTTCTTCCTCTCTACCTCCTTTTGTTTCTCTTCTTCCTCAGCTCTGAGCCTTTCCTCCTCAGCTGCCTTCATTTGAGCCTATAGAACAAAAAGGAGAGGTTTGTGTCATCAAATACACACACTTATTTCCATCCATCAAGAGAAGCTAGTCTTACCAGTTTCTCCTCCTCCTTCTGTCTCCTCAGCTCCTCGATCTCTCTCCTGCGCTCGGCGCGCTGGCGTGCTCGTTCCTCCATGGCTGAAAGAAACGTAAAAAAAAGGAAGGTGAGAGATAGAGTTGGGGGTGACAGAGACATCAGTTAAGGGTTGGAGGATTATATTGAAATGAAATTATATAAAAAATTATAGTATGTCCGTTTTAAAAATACAAGCTCACCAATGTGAAGTTCAACAAAATGGGCTTTTCTAATAACATTTTTGTCATTTATAAATTTAATTTAAGCGTAGGAGGTGAAAAAAACATTTGGTAACACATGTACACAAGGCTGGGTTTGGAATATAAGGCCGAGGAACATTTTGGATCAGATCAGGGTTGTGTTTCCCAAAAGCAAATATGGACGCAAGTTCCGTTGTTACCAATTTTGTCTAACAATACTTTTGGGAAACGCACCCCTGAGCAGGACAATAACTTGTCAGTTTTCAGTGTGAGAAAAATCTCATTGGTCATCTTGTTGTGCCAATGCCACGACAGTCAGCCTCACAGATTGATAAATAATATCATAAATGTTGGATGAGTCGGTAGGGTCTTTTACTCAGCAGAATGTTGAGTTGTGGGGGCTGTTAACAACCTCCCGCTGAGACACACAGACATGTGCACCAACCCACTCAGATTCTCAAACAACCCTGATTAAGGAACAAATATGACTTTGCGACAATGAAATTTGAGGTTTAACACGTGGAAGAGTTATTGTGCGGTTTTGGCATTGTTCTGGGCTTGCATTGTGGATTATGAGTGTATCGCGATTATGTGCATCTGTATTCAATGCATTCAGCATCACAGTGTTTAAATCTAGGGCATGGCCATGAAATTAATATTCCATGCTTGGAACCACCATAGTGACAGTTTTTTCTAACTGCTTGATTGTGTATGTGTACGGACTGACCTTGTACTGTAGGATGGAGAAGTGCTGGACGACGCAGAGATGATTTTTGGTCGGTGGGGCTGCTGGCGTTTTCCCCTGATGCACTCTTTGTTCTGAGATTGTAAGCAGCATGAATATCTATGTGAAATTGTAACTAACAAACATTTTTATTAATTTTGGGAATATGCCACACAAATATGAGGTTACCTTTGTTTTTCTGTACTTCTTGCAGTCTTTGTGTTGGGTTTAGGTGGACAGCATGTGCTTATAGCTTCAGGCAGACCTGTTGCGAACAGTGCCGATTTCTCTGCCTCGTGTCTCAGTTCCAGGATGTTCTGCCTCTCTTGCAGATGCAGAATATGCTCCTGTTGCTCTTTTAGAAGGCGCCTCTGCTCTGCTACGGTTTTCTGCAGGGCCACATGGCCGTGTTTGATCGGTCCACCACTAAGCTCTGCACTTCCACTCCGGGTGGTCTTCTGCTGTTGCCCCTGACGGGCCCGTCGCAGCTCAGCCGATGAGAGAGCGGCATGACGTCGCGTTATCTGCCATGCTTGGGTGGGCGGGGCCTCTGAATGCCCAGTGCTTTTAGTGGCTTGTGCAGTGGGTGAACTGCTTTCTGGAGCTGCTGGCACTTCCTGTGGTGGGATGAAGAGAGTTTGTGGAATACTTTCAGTTTCATCAGAATAAAAAAATATTTCAGTATATCCTTACCTGATGACTGACGTGTTCTGTAAGATTGAGTGTTTCAGGTGGGTTGGTAATTGTTGGAGTTTTTTCCGCCCCTAGTTTCCCAGAAGTGGCCGCACTGATCAAGGCAGCCATTTTACATCGGGTTTCTTCTTGTTGTCGGAGAAGCTCCTTGCGATGACATTCTACCTGACACCACACAAGCCAATCACTGAGGCAGCGCCTCAAAAGCCTCCTGCGGTCACTCTCCACCGCCTGCTGACAGCGCCTGTGGGAATGGCAGATATGACTTAAAACCAGTCTGACCGCCAAGGTCACCAAGATGAATGAAAGCTTTTAATTAACCTTTAATTAAGCAAACAAGTTTCAAGTTTGTATTTATTTATATAGCACATTTAAAAAAGCGAACAGGGCTGACCAAAAGATGAATAACAAGGACAAACCACACATTCAAGACAAAATATCACAACTAATTAAAAGTTAAAGAAAAAAAAGAGTTTTAAGAGATTGAGCCACTGTGATATAAACCGGAATATAATGTTAAAGAGCCATCGCTTTTCTTCCAAATGTTCAAGCCCTATATGACAGGCTTTTATAAATTGAGTTCTCTTGCCTGTGCTCCTGTCTCAGCTCTTCCTCAGTCCTTTCAGCCTCTTTTTCCTCTCTTCTGGCCCAAACAAGAGCCCGCCATGCCCGCCACGCCCTCAGCTGCCTCCTCCAATCACACAGCGCCGCTGCCTTGCCCATGCGCACCCTCCTCTCCATTATCACAGAATACCATGCCGCAAAATGCCTGTGCATGCACTAAAACATATGCAACCAGTCAAAAACCGGTATTTTACAGTCCAGTACTTGCACGGTACAAGGTAGCTACATGGGTTAAGAGGTAGGTTATGGGTTTAGAGGTAGGTTCAGGGTTAATATACAGTTATTATAATAACTATAAAAAGTACATAGTATGTCCATGTGGAACAGGACTCCCCCCAGCCAATATAATTCAACTGTAATGTCTTCTAACCTGCAAATTAAGAAGGTGAACTTTGGCTTCCAGGTTCCTCAGTTTAAGTTGAAGGTCGCTGTTCTGTTTCTTCTGTGCAGAATTATGACATTTTGAAATGACAGAGCACTCAGAGACCTTTTGTTTCTGAAGCTTTTCCCTCTCCCTGTGAAATATTGAAATAAAAATGTCATGCAATCATCCCTTCAAAAATTGAAATGGCATTTAAATGGGAAAATTACATACAAAAAAGTATCTGGACACTTCATTCATGTCATTTCATTAAACAAGAACATATCAAACCAAGTGACATTTATTTAAAAAAGGACAAACACTCTTCAAGAAAAAACATCAAAGCTATTTAAAAAAATGTTTTGTTAGGTTTTAAACTATAATACTGCATTTAAAAAAAAGAAAGAAAAAAAGGCTGGTTAGCTTCCGATTCCAAGGCGCCCCAAACCAGTGAAAAATATAGATATTTATACTCCTTAAATGCACAACCAGATCCTTCCAGATCACCAACTAAAACCTAAATTGAGAATTGAGAAAAATAATCCTTGAATAATTCAATAGTCATGCAAAACTGCAGCGGATATAGTGGGATATTTGTGCCCCAGAGCCCCATGGTCCTTTGATCAGACCCTGGTATAAACTTAAGGGAAATACAACCAGAAAAAAATAACCACGTGTGCAGTAAAGATGAGATGTGAAGTTAGTTGAGAAAGTGTTCAGATTTTTTTGCAGATGCCACTTTGTTTGATATGTTGACATTCATACATTTTTAATGAAGTTTAATGTGTCCAAATACATATGTGATTGTTGTACATGTTTCGTGCAAGCTGCTCCACACTCCTCTTCTCTTCCATCTCTCTGCGCAAGCGAATCATCTCCTGCTGTATCAGTTCTTCCTGTTTGCGTGCCTGCTGTCTCTTCTTTCTCTGCTTCTCCTGTTCCAGTTGCCAGGCTTCCTCTCGCACCTCCTTTAGCACTTCCTTCTCTTTACGCAGTTTGTCACGCTCCGCATCTCTGCGCATGCGGCTCTCCTTTACCTGCTTGTGACGCACCTCCATAGTAAGGCTAGGGTTCCTCCCTTTCTTCTTACTCAGGTCAGAGTCTACTTTGAGGTTCTCCATTATTCCACAGTCCAACACCTCCGTGTCCATCAGGTCCTGGAGGAAATTGTGCACTACAGAGTTGTCATCTTCCTGCGCTAGGTGAAAGTACATGTCTAAAAAACAAAAGAGAAAATCCAGTTTAGTATTAAATTACAATTAACTATGAAAAAACGGTTTCTTCTTATTGAAATAAAAAAAATTACAAATATTTGCTGAAAAATTTAAATGTTTCTAAAAATAATAAAAAATTATATACAAATTAAAAAAAATATTACAAAAGGATCTAACAAAATTTCTGAAAAAAAAAGCAAATTCATATTTTAAAAGTAAATAAATAATCCTAAAATAACATTGGTTTAGATATCATAAGATCTTTAAGGTAAACTTAGAGGAAAACAAGGCAGATAATTTGTTCATTTGTACCATCAAAGTTATTATAACTGGGCTGTGTAGTCTTAACAAGTTGTTTTGATTCTGAATCATCCTTTTTACTGGAACTCATCTCCTCTTCCTCCTCGTCATCATCCATTTCAAGCTCCAGACGTAACTTCTGGTTCATCCATTCACTTAGAATAGACTGAGCTGTGGAATACAAGAATAAGGACACGTCAGTATGATGCTGATTTTAAAAATCTGAATTTGCATTAAGTGCTGAATATTATGAATAAGTTAAAGACTACCTTCACTGTATGCATCATCATGATCCTGTAGCTGTTCTACGCTCTGCAGCGCCATACTGTTTTTACCACCACGTGGTTTCTTCATGGGAAACACCTCAGCTACAGCGAACTCTGAAGCCATCTCCACCCTCTGAGAAGAATGAGAATACAAAAGTTTTAATTACAATATATATATTTGGGGGGTGACCTATCCCTTCAAGTACACCTTCAATATAATCAAGAATACTTCTTTTTTCACAATGGATGGCACACATTAATTTTCTGCTTTACATGTATTTAAATGATTGAAATGTACCTTCACCCACTGTTTTATGTCATTCTCATTCAGCTGCACCTGCAATATAAAATATGAATTCAGCTATGACCATTGTTTCAATACAAAATAGACACACTTATCAAAGTTTTATCATAAGTTGATAATTGAATCAAAGGGTTTCAGCATTGTTGATGCCTGAAGTTTACATAAATGGGATATTTTGTCACACTTGCCACACACATCTAATCCCTGACTAATAATATGCCGTCTCACCTTAAACTGGCTCTATTGGACCTAAAGGGGTTTGGATTGCACATTTGAGCTGAATCCTTCTGCTGAGCTACAAATCCATCCATTCATTACTAATAACCAAGGTGCATAACTAAAGATAACCCGAGTGTGACATTTATTTAGATTAATACCTCTGGCTGAATATTGAAAAAAAGGGAACCACTACTAAGAAGCTAAATGTGAAGAACTATGTGAGCAAAGAGGAAGCAGGTTTTACTCGCCTTATTTCTGTCTGGGGTTGTAGTCTTTGTTGTTTTCCAACGCAAAATATCCGGTCTGAGAGCCATGGTCTTTGTTTGTACCTTTGCATGCGTTTGGATCGTAAGATAATATAATTTTATAACATGTTTGCAAAGTATATATAGTAGCAATTTTTACTGTGGTTATTATACAAAATGTAGCATCATGAAAACATTCATGTACTTCAGTGAGAGACTTTTCACACGGCAATGGATTCTTTTTTTTATTGCTTAAACAAAACATTACATGACACACTTTAAAGCCAGGGGAGGCAATGGAATTGTGGGATTTGTAGTTTGCGCAAAGTGACGTAGCATGAGTTGGTGTATTTATTATGTCTGTGGTGGGTACGGTTGTTACCTAAAAAGAACTACTTATCCCAACAAGAGCTGATGAGGACCGAAGCGTCTTGAAACCATGGAAACAGTTGTTACGTCTGTTATCAGACCCAACTAAGCAACTATGGCGATAAATATCGTGTTTAAATGTTCATCTTCATCTTTATAAATGACAAGTGCATTTTTATTCTTTATAAAAATAGCATATCAATAAATTAAGCTTCTTATAAGTCCACAACAATAGTTTATATTTTGAATTAGCCTATTTTTTCATTTTTCCGTTACATTTTAACTTTATTCAAAGGTTTAGTAAATTTTTGTATGTTTTTGTCATTTTTAAATATGTCTACATAGTTTTTATTAATTTTATTTCATTTTTATTTTAGTAAATCAAGTTAAATGACAACTTTAATTTAATTTAATTTCAGTCAGTTAACGTTTGCTTTCAATAAAAGTTTTTTTTATGTTTGTAATTTTAATTTTTGTTTACTATCAGTTAATTTTAGTTAAAAATCAAATGAACAGCTCTGTGCTGCAGAAATGTTATGACGTCGTAAATGTGAGACGCAAGTCAAAGCGTTACGAAATATTTCTGCGACTTGAAGTTCTCACATGTCCTGCTTTCTGAAGCAACTAAGAGCAAATAGGTAAGCTTGAGAGCCTTTTGCAACGTTTTATGTAGGCTATTGTCGTATATGACATATTCAATGCTAAGTTGTCGCGGCTTACTGTGCTCGCTGTGTTGTCAACTTGCTTACATTTATATTGGAAATTACATTCAAGTATGAAAACTAGACAGTGATATCTATATTTTGTCATATTTGCATATCAAGCACTGTATCCCTCTGGAAAATAAGGAACGTATTGTTTCTGCAGTTAACGAGCTGTCATTTCCTCTCTCTTTAGACCTGAGATACCTTTACATTACTGCTCCACAAGTGAGATGAAACTGGAACTGTCACGAGTGGTACAGGGATGTCGTTTGGGGGTTTTGACTGGATTGGGAAAATCAGGGCAGCACTCACTAGAGTTGCCCGGCTGTCTCCTGTACACTCGCTGTGCAACTGTTCCCCATCTGACCCAGGACACATTACACACTTTAAGAGACCTGCCTTCAGTCACACAAGTGTCTGTGGATAGCCTGTAAGATTGTAGTTAAACATTCAAGGTCAGGGATTCACAAAATATTTGGCAAATAGTTTACTTTTTAGCTAAACATGTTGGTCTGTAAAATGGCATACTTTGCTGACAGATCTAGGTTTGTGACATCTTGAATCTTCATAATCTTCATTGATGAGAGTATGAGAGTAATGTTTTTTTTCTTGCTATCTCTAAAGTGACATTGAGTTTCTAAAAGGCATGGTATAATTTAAAATGAATATTATGGTTAAATTGCTATATGGTAGATTGCTATATCTCGCTTCAAGTTCTGCAAATATTTTTCACTCTGAAACGGTGTGATTTGTTCTCTAAAATTTTTCTGCAGTTTCAGTTCTTCAGCCCTTTTTTCTTTTTCAGTGCAGAGCATCAAGAGGTTCTGGAGGAATTCAAAGAGGGTGTCAGAAAGTTTGCAGGTTAGACGTTCACTCTTTTACCAACTCTTTGTTACTTGCTTTCTCTTGGTTTAAAAGCTGATTGGTTTTATGATTTAAAAAAAAGTATCTTTGCATAACAAAAACGGTAATTGTGACTTTATCTGACAATTTACTTTTTTCTCACAATTGCAAGTTTATCTCACAATTTAGACTTTTTTCACAATTGTGATTTTTATGTCTCAATTCAAAGTTTATAATTAGCAATTGCGAGTTCATTTCTTGCTATTCTTTTTTTTTGTATTTGTTAGATCTAAAGTCAGCATGAAATCAAATTTGACAAATCTTCTTTTTATATGTAATATTGTAGTGTTTATTATAAATGATTTATCTGTGCACTTAATTATTTTTTAAAAAATATAATAATCTTTATATATATTTATATATATATAATCTTTAATCAAATACATTACCCATCCCTCCCCCATCGAAACGACCTCTTTTCTATTTCGGTCACGTGGAATGGCGAAAGGGTGCGGCCAGATCCGATGAGGGTGCGGCTATTGGTGAACCACCTCTCAGAGAATCGCATTCAAGTCTGCCTCCATTTTGTTTGCAACACCCAACCTCCAACGATCCAATCAATTCCCAAAGGACGAAATCAAGCCCTGCCCTACATTTTCTTCTAATTTCAGAAGCCGTTTCACTTGGATATACGTCACGACAAGGAAAAAATGACAATCTCAACTTCCGTTTTACGGCGAATTTAAAGTCAGTATTTTGAGAAACATCTAAGTTTACATCGAACAAATACAAAAAAAGAATTGCTAGAAATTAACTCACAATTTAGTTATAAGGTCTGTTTCTAAAAGCATGTTCTTACTTTGATAGCCATTAAAACCTGCTATGTGTGTATATGAAGTAAGTAATTAAATAACACAACACTAAGCAACATGTATCACTAATATTTCATTAAAAGTACAGATGGCTGAATTTTCTTAATGGCCCCTAAAGTGTGAAATTGACTTTTTATTCCTGTTGGCTATTTTTTAAAGGGATGGTTTAATGCCCTTTTCATAAGATGTAAAATAAGTGTCTGTTGTCCCCAGAAGTTTTATGTGAAGTTTTAGCTCAAAATACCCACAGATATTTTTATATAGCATGGTAAAATTGTCACTTTTTGAGGCTGAGCAAAAACACGTCACTTTGTGCGTGTCCTTTTAAATGCAAATGAGCTGCTCCTCCTGGCACAGAGGGTGGAGCTTCAACAGCTTGGTTCATTTTACCTCACACAGACATGCACTGAAAATTTCAAACACTTTTAGCCTTTTATGTTCAAACCCGAGTCAGACTGATGGGGAGACTCAAGAAGAAGTGACATGTAGAATGCAACAGGACATTTCTGAATGGTTAGTTGATTCATTTTTTTTTGTAGCTTATATGTAGTTATCTTTTTATCATTGATTAGCATTCTGTCTTGATAATCTATAAATCGCCTTCCTTGGGGTGGAGTTTATGTAAATTTTAGGGTTTTTGATGTCACTAACCCGGGAGGAATGTCATGTAGTCCCTACCAGCTGTTTGTTGTCCTTAAAAAGCTTTTTTTTTTTTTTTTTTACTTTGAGCATCGTAACTTAAATTGCAAAAATAAGCTTTAAGTAGGTTTTAAGCAGACATCTATTGCTCAAACAGATTGCAATTCCATTTGGTGCCATGAGTGATCCAGGAATTATACCTTTAGTATCCCCAAAATTCTAAGTCATTGTTTAATAAAATAAATAAACTATCAAATAAAATAGATTTTGTTTTAATATTCTTTTATCTTTCTACCAAACAAAAGTTCCCAGTGTGTGTTTTCTTAATTTTATAGTTCTGAGGGCATGTTTGACTACTAAGTGACTGTTTTGAAATAATTCTACATTCATGCTTGGTCGCATACCATTTTACATTTTTGAAAAATGAGTTTTCAGTTTTCATTTTGCAACCGTAACGAAAAGAAGGGCACTGTTTCAGTCACTGCCTTCTGCAATCCAACCAGAAATGAGAAAGGTAATTGTGTTCACAATATTAAGATGTGTGACCGTGAAGACATTTCAAAGGGTGACTTGAGGCGGCTGCAAGTGCTCCATTTGGATAATTACAAAAAGAAAATTGGTATACATGATAATGTTGGTCACCAAAGTTCACCTCCATCATTTCCTCACAGTACTCTCGAATTTAGATTCCTCCTCATGTTCCTTTCGTACATGTGCGCGTTCACCTTGTCTACAGTTGCCAATTAGTTTTTACAAGCTCTGCAAATGCGCATTTGTCCTAATCTCCATATACATTATTATTTTTTTTTATCTTCAGAATAATAAGTCGAGCTCTTGGTTGTTTATTTCGCCAGTAAACAGTGTTGCCAAATTGAACAAGTGTTCTCCCTGATTGCATTGGACTGTTCTCATGCAGTCAATCACTTCTGAGGATTTAGATGGATGAATAACAAAAGTGTATTTTGCAGTTCATCATATGTTGTGTGTTGGCAGTATTTATATCTTTGAGATTGCAGTCTTTGAAACTTCTGTTTTAGAATATTAGATGGATGACATCTGTTTTGATTGGAATTAGTTTCTCTAGTTGGTTACAATAGACATCTGATCTGCTATTACTCTGACATGGTTTTCTTATGCAGGTCTTCATGATACGGTGCTTTTCAGCTCTTTGCATGATTCTGCTAACACCAGCCCTGCCGGTCACGTCACCAACAAGGTTAGAGAACTATGTTGAATGATTGTTTTCAACCTCTTTTGTCATTGAGATGGACTGGTATTCCATTAAATCATTACAGATAGTCTAAAAGGGCAATTTAGTTAAATGTAATTGGTTTTCAACTGCTCCATTTCGCTCAGAGAGGGAGCTTTTGTGTCCTCTAAAGCTATGCCATCGCTTTATTGTTAATTGTCAGGGATTTTAATGGTTTGTTTGTGATTTAACAGACAGTGTCAGTGTGGGGCAGCGGTGGAAGGATAGAGCTGACGACGGATCGCTTCATGGCGATTCAGGCAGCTATTCAGCCGGACTGCTATCAGAGCATGGCGGACGGAGAGACCTGGCAGGCCAATACTTCTCGCAAGAGAGTCCGTAAAGCAGTGGACAGGACTCTGGCCCATCTGGATGAATGTCTGGTGTTGCACCAGAAATCACAGGTCTGATTACATTTCAGTCACTGCAGGATACATTTCCACATCGGTCATATTCTGTACTATTCAGGGATCAAGTGTTTCAGAGAGAACCACAGAATAAAGTCGGACAAGAGAAACTTTACAAAATGATTTTAACATTGCAAATGTGGCACACAATGGAACTCCATTTTATGGTCAATGTTGTCATTTTATTACATAAAAAGTAATAATGTAAATGTATACATCTTTCTATAATAACAATTTTCTTATTATTTGGAGTTCATGGTTCATCTCAATCACTTAAGTATGTAGTGGAAAGTAAAAAGTAGGATGTACATGTATACGTTTTATTATATTATATTGTATCATTATATTCGTGTGTGTGTGTAATATATATATATATATATATATATATATATATATATATTTATTATTATATAATTCATAACTAAAACTATTAAAAACATTTCTGTTAATTAAAATGAAGCTGAAATAAAAATGTAATATTTGTTGAAAAATTAAACAAACATTAGAAATATTGCCTTGGTAATAAACTGAAATAAGTTTGTTGAAGCAATAAAATTGTTAACTAGAAAAATGTAAATACTAAATGTGAAATAAAATAACAAATAAATTAAACCCAAATAGCAGTATTAAAAAAAAACTAGTAAAATGACAAAATCATAAAACGAAATTATGTTATGACAAAAGTAAACTGAAATTAACAAAAGAAAAAAAAATATATATTATAATATAAAAATAAAAAATATAAAAATAAAAGCTAATTTAATGAAACTATAATAAAACTAAAATATAAACAATTTGCAAACAGACTGTCTTTGTCCACAGGCATTAAAACAGGCAGAGATATTTGGGGTTGTGGAGGGTGGAGACATTATGGAGGAGAGGCTCCGGTCGGCACGAGAGACTGCCAAGCGTCCTGTGGGCGGGTTTGTGCTGGATGGATTTTATTCTGCTGCCATGGACCAGGATGTGAGGGCTCAGCTGATTAGAGCGACATCTGCAGAACTTCCCCAAGAAAAACCCAGGTAAAAAAGGAGTCTATTTAAATTTCTGCCTCACAGGCTCAGACATTTCTTCAGTTTGAGAGTGAGACAAATCGTCCCAATCTTATCATTTTCTGATTATGCACCTCGATTCTCAGCAACCATAGCAACACTCCATCCCACCAGGAGCCCATAGCAACCACCTCATCCCTTTTGGAGAAATGGAAGTGCTAGGGTTAGAAATGCTTCAGGAAGAAACTTCATCTTAAATTCTTTGTGTTTTAATTATTGATTTGTCTTGGAGATTGACTGGGAGGTTACAGAATCACACAAAAACAGCAAGACAATTGCAGCAAGTAAATCAGTGTGTATCTGGAAGCGTCCTTGGACTCAACGGGGTCTTAAGAAGGCTGCTTCCCATTGGGCTTTACAGTCTTGTTAGAAACCGACATTTCCCTTGGGTGCATCTCTGGTCACAAATGACTGGAGAAGGTTGTGAGGCACAAAGGCTGGAGGACAGGATACAGAATATAATTAGATTTAGAGCAGAACAAGTTTCTGTGCTGCAGACAGTATATATGGTGTTTTATATATGTGACCCTGGATTACAAAACCTGTCAAAAGTAGCACGGGTGTATTTGTGGCAATAGCCAACAATACATTGTATGGATCATGTTCCATGAAGATATTTTGTAAATTTCCTACCATAAACATATAAAACATTTCTTTTTTGAGTGAATGCAGCGTAATCGCAAACATAAATGGACAACTTTAAAATGACTCATATGACTGATTTTGTGGTCCAGGGTCACATATTTTAAAGTAAAGTCATGTTGCATGAGTTTTTCTATGCATTTATGAGATAGCTTTTGGATCTCTGTTGAACCTTTATGTTTTGTATTAATACTTACTGATTTACCCTGGGCTGCACAAAAAAGAATTATTTTTGGATACTTTATTTCAAAATTCAAGCTTTTGCCATTTATTTCAGGTTTTTGTTGGGGATTGGCCGTCCTGATGAGGTCATCAGCTGTGCTGAAGCAGGAGTCGACCTGTTTGAGAGCTTCTTCCCTTCCAGGTGACAGAGCGGGGTTGCGCGCTCTTCTTCGACTACACCATTGATCCCGACCCTGAGACAGCAGGTACATCAGCTCCTACAGGTGTGCAGAAGCCCATAATTTACATTATTCAAAAGATATTACTGACTTCCTACACTTTCTTAACCCTTTAAAGCCTACTGTATCATATCTGATACACACATTTTTTTAAGGCTTCTAAATTATTACCATGATCAAAACTTTAATGAAAGACCTGTTTTACATAATACATGCTAACTGGCATCTGATTGACCTTTTTTAATTTTTTAGCAAGTAAAAGTTCTTTTTACTAATAAATTAAATAAAAACGTCCACCTTCAGGTTTTTGTACAGGTTTCTTTTTGATGGGGAATATTAGTGAATTTTATAAACTAAACATAATAATTTAACTTGTATATTTGTTAGTAATATTTAAAGATGAACACTTACTGGAATGAAGCAACGTCATCTTACATTTTTGCCATATAAATGTCAACAACTGCACCAAACTGCATATAGTTTGGGCTTCTAAATAATATAATTGAGGTGTTTTTTTTTCATCCTTGAGTATGAGATCATACCTACTAAATGAGCCATAAAAACCTGATCTATCAAATTGATCTATTACACTTTTCAAAAACAAAAAATGCATGCAAATCTTTTTATTATTATCATTATTGTTTAAAGGTTATCAAAGGTTATAGGGCATTTTGCCTTTGTATGTCGTATTAAACTGCTATAATAGAAAGTTTTAACACTGAAACAGTAGTTTTAAGAGAAGACCGTTTCAGATTCATCTTGTGATATATAAACAAGCTTTTTTAGCACAATAATATGAATGAATAAAGTCATATTTTAAGTGTTTGCTATGATCAGTGTCAGCAGGAACTATGAGCTGCATGTGAGGCTGTTTTTTCAAAGTATGGCTTGGAAGTAGAGCTGTGCTTCTGCTGTTTCAGATAATTAAGTTTGATTTTAAAGGGTTAGTTCAGCCAAAAATGAAAATTGTCATTAATGACTCGCCCTCATTTTTGGGTGAACTAACCTTTTAAGAGAATAAAGTCTTTAAGAGAGAGTTTGTTTGTTCAGGCCCCAGGCAAATTAAATTATTGGCTCGTTTCTAACAGAACCGAAGCCCTGGAATCCATTTTGCCACCTTCACTCTCAGCAGGAGTCAAACCTTCACTGAATGAACACAATTTGGTATTGCTTTTTGACTTTTAAAAGCATATTCTTTGAGAACAACAATGCAAGAGTATGTCTTTGTGTAGATTCTGGATCACATAAAGAGACAAAAAAAATCCACTATAGGGCATAAATAATTAATTTGGGCTGTTAGGTGTGCAGCGGTCTGTTCTAAGAAGAAGCTAATCGATGTGTTAGGATGATAATAGAGTTCAGGACAGGCACTTGCAGAGGGAAGAAGGAAAGAGATATCCTCTCAGCTAATTAGAGAGCTCTGCAGGGGGACTGTCCATAACCTCAGCCTGATCTGACACCTTCTGTCACTGCTGGTCACAAGGGGTGCCTTTCGCACCCTGTCTATGTATGTTCACTCCCTTATTTTCTTCTCTTTTTACTGGTTTCTGCTCCAAGTCCATTTTTGCATATACATCACTGTACATATTTTATGCAAATTTTGAATTATTTGATTTGTTCATAGAATATGAAAGGCATCTATGATTTTATACAATTAAACGTGCACTCAGTAATTTTAGTTGCACCATAGTACTTCAGATTTTTTTTTTTAAATCTTATGGTTAAATAAATGGTTAAAATCACTCATATTGATACACTCCACTCATACAAAACATGGAGCCTTTTGGAGGCTGCCATGTTGAGATCTCATGACTATGGCCATATGGCTTTAGATATCCTGTAAGATTTTTTATTTATTTTTTTGAAGTCTGAATGAAACAGAAGTTGCAATTAGTCTTTTATTCACTATTGAGTGAAATATCCGAGTGAATTGACTTCTCGAACAAAAAAAGGTGTCTCTTGGTCTTTATAAAAGGTGTTTATATAGTTTGATCTGGTTTTGAGGATGACACACTTGGCATTGCTTAGGCAAGAGCATGTCATAGAGAGTGATGAACGGTTGTGCGGAAAGCCATATATATGGATCTCATTATATGGATACTTTTGGGCGTGTTTTATGTAAATTACAAACATAGCTCATTTTGAATACAACAAATTCATTAACTTAAGAAGTAGGTTTATACTTGTTGTAAATTTAGCTGAAACCTTTTGTGAGAGGTGCTCTTGTGCATTTACAGTAAATGCATATAATCCATGCAATTATTAGTAAATAAGACCTGGTCTTCTTTTAGAAACGCCACTGCCTTTGGACTACCAGAATTACATTCAGTTTGAAAATGACGTTTTCTTGTCATATGTACACACTAGACATGACAAATGCTCTACTTTCATTATCTGGTCATGAAATGTATATGTAATGGGTTTTCCCTTGTGATGAATGTTTAATCATGAGTACATGTTTGTGCTGGAACACAGTGCTGGATCTCAATGGAGAGATTCCTGCTGTCAAGAAGCTGAATGGAAATGGAGATACAAATATGACACCTTTCGAAATGAACCTCAAAGATAAAAGGTGCGTGTGTGTATGTGTGTGAAGGGAGACAAGGACATACTCGTTCACCCCTCATACAGCTGTGCATGCTCATATCAGATGAGGCTACTTATGCTTTCTTTGACATCTTTCATGATCTCAATCTCCTCACCTTGTATATGAGGATTAATAAATGTTATATGTCAGTAATTCATTCTCGCTTCTGAGGGCATTTCCGTAATATCGTTCCTATCACTAGATTCCGATCAGATTAGTGGTCAAAGGAGTGATGAAGGATATTAAATAAAAGGATTTTCCAACCCCCACAACCACTGCCTTCTAAAACCCCCTTTTTTTGAATTGCAGACTCCTTAAATACATTTTTTATCCTTTAAAATCCCTAAGCATACAGATTCCCTGGTGTGAAAAATAGCTCCATAACACTGTGTTTGACTTTCAGGTATCAAGATGATTTCCGCCCACTTGTGGAGGGCTGTGGCTGCTACTGCTGTAAGAAGCACATGCGAGCATATGTTCATCATTTACTGGTGACCAATGAGCTGCTTGGTGGTGTTTTACTCATGCTGCACAACATGGCACACTATCTAGGCTTTTTTAAAGCACTGCGGGAGGCAATAGCCAGTGAACGTCTGCAGGACTTTAAAAATAGAGTGCTTCAGTGCAGAGAAGGTGATTGAAATGATTGAAGGACTTCAGGCAACAACAACAACAACAAAAAAGAATGAACAAAAGAACCCCTACATCAGAGCATACTTAGGGCTTTGGTTTCTGAGTATGTGGTCTCATGAATGTAAAGCTGGATTCTGAAGCACATGGTCTCTTGCCATGCAAATTATCAGACAAATAGTGCTACTGTGAGTGAAACAGGTCAGGAAACCTTTTAAAATTCACATGGCTCATCTCAGTTCTCTTATGGATTTTAAAATTGCCGTTTGCAGCATCAAATGAACCATTTCACTTAGAAGGAGCATAAATAATGGTGAAATTATCTTTTTAAAGGAGCGGCACTTGCTCAAATTATCACTTTTTCAATTCCTGGAAAATGACCTGCTGTTTTGCTCAGCACATATTTTTCTGAGGAGTTACACATTTAATCTCGGAAAATGCTGATTTTTTTTTCTTTCTTTCATATAATAATGTTTTTTTAGAACAATATTTATTATTGTGCATTGTTTAGATTCTGTTTTGCCCTTATGTTAAGTTAGAAAAAAATCTTTAAAACACAATGAAAATCTAGCTGACTTTTTTTGTATTAGTTTTTCCGATCTTTACATTCCTATTCCTTATGTACTTTTAACTTTGCAATAAATGTACGGTATGGTGTCTGTAAATTATCTGTGACTATATCCACAACATAACAGCCTAAAGTGCCTTAATGCTTTTATATTTTAAGTCTCCATATATTTTAGCACTGCTTAAAGCTGTATTGACCAATCAGGGAGAGTGTATTGGAGTGAGATTGTGTTAAAGCTACACTGTGATTTTTACCCCCATCTAGCGGTGAAAAGGTATATGACCATCCAGTGAATATTAGTTTCTGTTCCTCTCAATTCCGATTTCGTTTGAACTCCTATGCTTCCAGTTCGACCTCGTCCATGAGTGTTAACTCAAACGTAAACGTGAAAGGCGAAGCTTGAATTAGCGGGTATGTCCCTCTTTGGCTAACGTACTTTCAAGATGGAGGGGCAACATGGCGACCGACATTAAAACCCCTTACCCTAATGTATTTTCAATGGCATATTATACATACACTCATGAGAATACTTTATTACTTGAACAAAGTAAATATACATTAATGAGCACATATATTTTTGAAAGAACTAAGTGTTTTTAGCTAAGAATAAACTAAAAAAAGTTACACAGTGTAGCTTTAAAGCATCAATGAGAGAAATCTTTGGTTAGGTGCAAGCTGCAGAAATTGGAAATCAAAGTGGGAATCAATGGTTTGCATTGTTACCTAAAGCTATTTTTTTTTCCCAGATACAGAAACAGTGCGGCTCAAAAGTCTTACTTTTTTTCAATGCAAATTGGGCATTGGGCATCAATGCAAAAAAAGGGGGCAAGGACTGGTTGAGTTGGGTTTGTGGCGTGTTAAAACTTGCAATTATGGTAACGGGAGGGACATTTACCAAACATACTCAAAGCTTGTTTACAACTCAACACACTGGTCCAGCCAACCAATCAGTCACTACACACTGGTCCAGCAGAACAATTAAAGCATATTGTTCTTTTTGGAAGGAGAGGCCTTAATAGAGAGAAAATAAATGGGTTTCCTAAAAGCATTGTTTTCCAAGCATGAAGCATTTCCTAAAAGCATTGTTAGCCAACTATAGTTGCAATTTCTGTCTATATCAGAAACCATAGTTCCATAGTATCTTGTTTGCATGACGTGGACTTAATAAATCTTTAACTTGAGCAAAATAAGTAAACTCACATTCGGTGCAATCTATTTACCCAGAGTGTTACTGTCAGACTGGGAAGAGAGGTGCTGCAATATTATAAAATATGTGAAAAATAATGTGTTTTTTCAACATTCAAGCATGAAAACGTCTAGTAGACCCTCAAAACAAAATCAAGACTTTGTAAAATGGCATAATAGGTCCTCTTAAACATGAATTTCAGAATATGTAATTGATATATTTTAGAATGATTATTTTCAGATTTACATTTTCAATGTGATCCCATATTTTTGAAACCTATTGTATATGTTTGGCAACCTGAGTTCACTTTTGAACATCAACCGGGTGTGTGTGCTCGTAGTGACAGCAAGTTACATTTCCATTTAAAAGCAGAGCGACACTTTCCCAGCAGGTGGTTCCTCCCCACATTTTAGCCAATTATCTTTTCCGTAGAGCCAGGAGAGGTCATTAAAAAAGTTTGAGCTGCTGGACTACTTTCCACTGCTAGTCCCTGCCCTTGATTTAGAGTTCACTTTTATCCCAACCCAGCTTCCACTCGTCACAAGGGCTTTATCTTTCTGCGATTTTGAGACAAAAATTACACAAATGTGTTTTTATAAGCAAAAATGGTTGAAATGTTATAGCAAGATACTCTAGCTAAGACTTTGAAATTAACTTTGAATCATAGAAATTATTCCCTGGAGTAAAAAGCGTGACAACTAGCCCCAGTCTCCCCTATTAATTTGACAGCCAGCTTTTAAGCTTTGCGTAACTAGCACTTTATAGACCATCCGTACTTTTAGCCTTCTCTCTAATGAAACTTATACCTTTTGAAATTTTTTAATAATGCTTTTTATATATTTTTTGTGACCCATTTAGTATAGCTGGAGAGTTTGAAATGACTTTGGAAACCTTAACTTGAGACTCAATTTCTTTTTAGATTTACTTGATTGCGATGGATTCTCTATGGCTTTGTTGAGACCCAAGGTGATATTTCCTGAAGAATTGTGCCCTTTTAAGGGTCACTCAAGTATGTACAATGTATAAATGAAGAGGTTGTGAGAGTATTAGAGTTTCTAAGTCTCACCTTGTTTGAATATCACTGTTCATCTACTTGGTTTTTCAAGTATCAGTGTTCAAATTCAGTGTTCAGTATGTGTCAATGTATAATCTTGCTCTTTTTTTTAGTTGAATGGCAGTTGTGCTCCTTGTCAGAAGCAAGGAGACAGCTATGAAATTAAACTGAAGGGTTATTCTTGTGGGAAAACTTGACCTTTCAGTCTTCTCAACTGCTTGGTTAAATGCAAATCCTGTCTTATGGCTCACGACATGGCTTGTTTCTTGAATTATACAGTATATGAAGGCTTATGATGTTACATATATTGTCAAATTGGTGGCACAGAGCTTACACAGTTACTCTAAGCTTTGCTTAGATTCTCCCTTCACCTCATATCTTGTCAAATTCAGTCTCTTCCTACATATTTTATGAGGAGCGGTGTCAGTGTGAATTAAATTCTATATGTATATTTAAGGGTTTGATTTAATTATTGAAGAGGTTGGAGAACTGTAGCATTGGGATTTTAGGATGAAGTGATCTCATGGCACCTCACATTACTTCAAGTTCACAGAATTTTATAAGAGAAGTGGAGAAAAGGCAATTTCTTCACCAGTTCAAGTGTCTATTTAGAAATCCATAGTTAGAAACTGAAAACCTATTATGAGATAAGAAGGTCATACAGTCCGAAGGTCACTCCAAAAATGATCACATATTTTTGCTAACGACTGCCTCATTGTTCATTATCTCTCTACTCAAAAAAATAAAAAAGTGGACATGCAATATTGAGCTAAAATTATAGTCCATTACAATGTACAAAACATTTGACCTAGCAACAAGACAAACACTATACACCAATATTACAGTAATGTTAATAAAGTCATTTTCACAATAAACAGAACATAAACCTCAATAACAGAGACGTGAGATAACTCATGCCGCATTTGTATGAAACAAGCCAGAGTGAGTTCGTAGTGTGATACAAGAAACATAAAAGTAGTGCCGGATGGTTAGAATGAAACAGAATCTGCAATAGTCTTTTCCTGAGATGGTCTTATTATTGACTTCTCTTCCCTTTTGTGACGTATGTCCAAGTGAAATGGCTTCTAAAACAAGTTTTTTTTTTTGCTATTGCTGTGATGTCATGTGAGTGACGGGTTGTCTCGCCCGCACGCCAGTCAACAGGCCATCAGAGAAGAGATGTCACTGCAAGATGGAGGGGAACTTCTTTTGATTAAATATTATGACCAGGGCCTAAAACTAACTTTTTTACCACACCTGCCATGCCATCACTTGCTTAGAATAACCAGAATGACATCATCCGCTGGTGTGGATGCTAATATAGTTAGCTGAAGTTAAAGGAGTAGTTCACTTTTGAAAAAACTTGATAATTTACTCACCCCCATGTCATCCAAAATGTCCATGTCATTCTTTCTTCAGTCGAAAAGAAAGTAAGGTTTCTGATGAAAACATTCCAGAATTTTTCTCCATATAACGCACTTCAATGGTAACCAAACGGTTCAAGGTCCAAAAGACAGTTTCAGTGCAAACTGTTCAAAGGGCTTTAAACGATTCCATTTATCAAAATGAACAAATCTTTTCCCAAGTCAATTTGTTTATTTCGTTTGTTGAATGAACCAAATGATGCGGAAAAAGATTTGTTCATTTTGATAGACGAGTTCGAACAAGAGAGTCACGAACCCGCATCACAGAACAGAGCAAGGCGACCATTTGAGCGTATAAAAATTAAACTTTGTTATTTTTTTTTTAAATGAGAGATCGTTTCGCTTGGATAAGACCCTTATTCATCGTCTGGAATCGTTTAATGCCCTTTGAACACTTTGCAGTTTGCACTGAAACTGTCTTTTGGACCTTGAACCGTTTGGTTCCCATTGAAGTCCATTATATGGAGAAAAATCCTGGAATGTTTTCATCAAAAACCTTAATTTCTTTTCGATTGAAGAAAAAATGACATGGATATGTTGGATGACATGGGGGTAAGTAAATTACCAGCAAAAGTTTTTTTTTTTTTAAAGTGAACTACTCCTTTAATAAGTTGAACGTGCCTTTAAACTCAGCTGAGTGGAATGATATACTGTACAGCTCTGCCATGGAAATCTGACTGCTGGATGCCAAATTGAGTATTTCAGAGTAAATACAGTAGTGTGTTACAGAAGTACTGTTCCACTTTTGCTTGACTTACTTTCCCTTGATGTTCTGTTTCTAGACAAGGTTAGGGAAAGTTGAGGTAAAAGGTCATTGTTGTCGGTGTTGCTGAAAAGGTCTAACAGGAAGAAAGGACCTTCTCTCAATCCATCATTCATCTCTTAACGTTCTTTGGTGCAAAACGATTTCTCTGTCCCAGCCTGCAAGTTTTCAGGACATTCCTTTTGATTAAATGATAACAGGTGTTGAACGCTGAACTTCCACAGGTAACAAATGTGTCTTATGTCCTTTGGAGTGTCTAATATAGTTGTTGAGCATAGAGTTAATAATTTTGTGAATGTTCTGATGTCTTTTTGCTAATAGGCATAAAATAAAAATTATTGGTCTTCAGCTGGTGTGGTTGGCGGAGAGGTCTTTTGACCCCCCTTTGTCCTCTCTGGTGAGTTATTTTGTACATTTGTTTAGAAATTCAGCTGGTTTATGGGCCAGTTTTATTTTTGGAAGGACACCATTATCAGTCAGACTGTGACTTTGCGGCCACTCTGTCTCATGTTGATACTTTGGTTAAACCCCATCAGCGGTTCATCCGGGCAGAAAATATAGATAATTTTTTAGGCATTGTATAATGTTGTCTTGAAAATACTCAATCTCTTTCACACCACGCGCACTCAGGCAGTGACAGGCACCTTGAAGAGGGCAACGTTGTTCTCTC